GTATGTGAGTTACTGAGAGAATTGACGCAGAAGCAAATTACTATCAGCGAATACAATGACGCTACCACGCGCTTAACAATCCTTAAGAGTCACTCCATGTGATATTGTCATCTCAATTTCAGAATCTTACAAAAAAAACCCCATTGCAATCTGAAAGACATTGCATGTTACAAATCTGGTAAGAAAGGTCACATGTCCAAGAATTTCCATCTCAGCAACAAGGAACAAAGAGAGATTGAACTAACAGCTCAAAACAGCCAGATTATGGCTATCTATGTACAGAAAATTAGAAAAGCCATAAAAATGTGGTCCAGTTTAAACACCATCCTGGGAGGGATAATCTGTTTGGAGTCCTAATCTTAAGACACTTTTATGAGTAGGTACTCTCAAAACTCAAACACCCTAAAGCAAGCCATATAACAATGCAAAAAGCAATAAATATTAAACAAATGATGAAGAAAAAACTTAAATAAAAAATTTATTACCTGCACTAAGGTACACTCCGACCTCTTTGATGAGTTGTCCACTCTAACTCCGGTTGCAAAAACATCTAATGAAGTTTTTTTGCCAGTGGAATTATACCGGAAATCCCAGTTCAGGATTTGAAGCATGAGACGCAATGCAGCAGTGCAAACCTTAACCTCTGGTACATCCATATCAGATTCAATTATTCTTTTTGTGACACCTACAGCAGCATCCCGTGTCCAACAATAGAATGTCTATAGTTTAAATAGAAGAAAAATAATTACAAAACAGTCTGGGACAGGGGCAAGACAATGGTAAAACACATTCAATATATAAATAACATCTATCAATGCAACCAGCCAATTAAATGAAATAAAAACATATAAATAAACAGCAATGACAAACCTTCAGATTCTCTAGCTCAAATGACGTCCGACATTGCTCATGAAATTCTCTAGGAAGGCCCATGGCACTAGAAGTAGAAGGTGAGAACTCAGATACCTGCAAAGAAGGAACTCTAAGTTCTCGATTCTGAAACATGTTAAAATACTAGGCAAGATCCAGTCAAAATTAGTAAGCTCATAAATTCAATAACCTATAAAAGCGACATGTACCAAAGATTCCAGGAAATTGATTCCAGAGAACTGCACATCTACACCATGATTGCCAAGAATAGCCTGGTTTACCTGTTGCCATGAAACTGTCAGACAAGTTAAATGCATCCAATATGCATCAATATTTGAGTGCTTAAGCAGCTAAGGTGGCCGCAAAACAGATCTCAGCACTAAAAGGGGGAGAAATTGGTGAATCGGTGAACTTGAAAATGGGTGGGAAACTTTGCTCTTGGAAGTGGGCAGAGCCTGAGCATGGATTTTGATTTGAAGTTATGACTCAGTTTGCTTGGAAATGGATGAATCATTAAGCTTTCTAGAATGAGTCCATGAGGTACACAGGAAATACTAGCATCAAGGAGATAGTAAAATAGTTTGACATAAAACTGAAGTCCAAGAGAGCTAAATAGCAATCCAGTGGTTGGAAAGTCAAGAGAAGGGAGGGTAAATTTTCTCTTCTGCTGTTACACACCAAGCATGCTTAGATCATGGTCATGTATAAACCAGATAAAAAAAGAGCATATCAATTCAGAAAAATATAATAAAATACTCAACAGCAGAAAGGAATGTCCACCTCCCCCCCCCCCCCAAATACTCAACAGCAGAAAGGGAATGTCCCACTCTCCCCCCCCCCCCAACGGCAACCACACTCAAAAAAAAAAAAAGTGGGTTCCATATAGACCCTGAATGTGAACATGTATCCGGCAAAAATTACTTAATAAAGTATAATATTGCATGTCAGTATGCTGTGACATAAAATTAAAAGGAAAAAAAACGAGGCAAGTACAGACACAGGCACAAATAAATACATCATCCTATACCTTGATGAAAGAGAATGTATCCTTGCTCAACAGCTGTAAAATCTAAGCCTACATAAAAAAATTTTTTCGAGCAAGTTTTGTCAATGTTGGTCCACAGCAAGTAAGAAAAAAAAAAAAAAAGAAATTGGTCAATTTTCCTGCTTTAGAACTTGGAAAAACGCTGTGCAATAGTGACCTCAAAAGTTTTAACAAAAACTTTTACAATAAACTGACATGGAATGGCTAAATTTCAGAGAATATGATAGGGTAGCCTTAATGGAATAATTTTCATACGTGACACTCCCAGAACACAAACACTAAGACGTTTTCACAAAAATTGCTTAATTTAACAAATGGCAATAGCGTGGATCAGATTAATTGAAACCCCAAATTTTAATGCGATGCAAGCAATCTAAGCTATCCTCCTGTTAAAGATAAACAAGAATTACAACCAAAAAAAAAAAAAAAGTGGGTTCCTATAGACCCTGAATGTGACATGATCCGGCAAAAATTACTAAAAAGTATATATGCATGTCAGTATGGCTGTGCATAAAATTAAAGGAAAAAAACGAGGCAAGTCAGAAAGGCACAATAAATACATCACCTATACCTGATAAAAGAATGTATCCTTCTCAACAGCTGTAAAATCAAGCCTACATAAAAAAATTTTTCGAGCAAGTTGTCAATTTGTCCACAGCAAAAGAAAAAAAAAAAAAGAAATTGTCAATTTTCCTGCTTTAAACTTGAAAACCTGTGCAATAGTGACCTCAAAGTTTTACAAGAAACTTTACAATAAGCTACATGGACTGGCTAAATTTCAGAGATATGATAGGACCCTTAATGGAAATTTCATTACGTGACACTCAGAACACAAACACAAGACGTTTCACAAAATTGCTTAATTAACAAATGGCAATAGCGTGATCAGGATTAATTGAACCCCAATTTTCAAATGCGATGCAGCAATCTAGCTATCTCCTGTTAAAGATAAACAAGAAATTTACAAGAGTGAAACACCAATTAGAGCTAATCCGTTTACATAATTAAAAGGATTAACAATGTGGTTACCCACAGGAAAAAACAAATGGAGCTGATTGTAGCATGTCATGTTGTGTAATATCATCCAGGAGATCAACTATCTCCACGTACCACTACCATCAGGCAGTGATATCACAGGCAAACTACATTCAGAGAGATAAAAACCACAGCATGCACACAAAATAAGGTTCCACCTTATGTCTCATATTATATCCAGGGCGCCTGGCCTAAAATATGTAAGATGAAGTATCAATGCCACAAGCTACACATTTATATACATATCTTATATATATCGTTTACTAATTAAAGATGAAAATATCTGTAACTTACCAGCCCCTTTTGATCAATTGAGCAGCCACAGAAGAAACCTTTACTTGGACATATCCTTCGGGTGAACTAGCACGTTGCATAACATAGCACAGACAAAAACTACAGAAAAATGCCAATCAATAAATGATCACATGCATAAATTAACTTAACACTGACACTAACAGTAATTACCATCAATATCAATAACAAAATTATCGTATAAATACCTTATCAAGCTTTTCTTGTCATCACCTGAGAGGAAACCCCATTCCCTGATAGCAGCATCGCGAATTGCTGCAGCCGCTTGAAACCTAGCATTTGCTACTTGAGAATTCTCTGATAAAACAAAAATTAACCAGAAGTTACAAACCAAAATATAAATCGATCAAATTTTCCGATATTAACTACTAATTACAATTCCACTTAATTACCAAGAATGAACTGGCATGCATTGTATGGCTGAGGTGACTGATTGAGAGACAGAATAGTTGTCTCTGCAGCTGCTGGATTCATATGCATCTGCCACTTAATATTCACAATCAGTTACAAATTAACACAAAATTTAATCTGATTAGTTAAGTCTTTTTGTTTTAAGTAATAAATAGAAATTAGAAGACCTGAATGGAAGAACAAGCAAGCTCGATGGCTTGCATGGTGGACTGAAGCTGAGCCAAATCAGCGGCGCCGCCTTGCTGCATCATCTTCGAGTTTTTGGACAGTAGATGATTCTACAATATATTGAGAGAGAGAGAGAGAGAGAAAGGGAGGGAGGAGATATACTATTTGATGTGATTAATAATGTCGACTTAAGAGTTCGATTAGGTTGATTGTTTTGTATGTGTCAGGTAGTGAAGAGAGAAAGGAGTAAAGAGAGCATGAGTAGACGGAAGGAAAACGGCGGTAAAGAAGCGAGGAGATCCTCAGGGAATAAAATAAAGACGGAACGGGATGGGAGAGAAAGGCAACTTCATTGAAATCGAGGTTTTCTTGGGGTGGTTTTGTAATTAAGGTTTTCTTTTCGGTGAATATTTAATTTAAAAGTATTTAGGATTAATTTTAAATAAAAAATAAATTAGTCCTTGAATTATTGTTACTTGAAGATCTCCATATTCAAAAAGTGACTATAAATTATAATTTTATTAATATTTTAGTTCTCACTTAAATTAGTTAAAGTGCTTAATATTAAGAATTATGAATTATCCTTTTTCAATTATTTCTATACAATTTAAAATAATATAAAATTAAACATTTAAATATTATATCGAGAATAATCAATACATTTTTTAAAATTCTCAGAAAATTCTATATTTGCAAATGCGTTGTGTATCAAAACTTTTTTTTTTTTTAAGTTGATTAGAATTTAGAAATAAAAGAATTATTGAAAAAAAAAAGTCAACATTTGATTTGAATTTTTATTGGCCCGTTGAGAAATATTACCTAAACATTAAAATGTTTTAATATAATTGGAATTTGTCTTGTATATTTTAATAAAATTAAAGGATTAAAAAATAAGTTTTTCAATACTTTTTTCCATAATCATCTTGGAATTTGGAATTTTGGACGGACTAACCTGAGAATTATTTATAGAACAAGCCCCTGTTTGCAATTTTAGTTAACTTATACCCTAGTACTTAACGTCAAAACCACCGTCATCAGCGAAATGAACAAAGCCTCTCTTCCTGTCGAAGCTTACAAGCGTCAGCAAACAGAGGTATTTTATTGCAGCTGCACTTTGAATATTGAATTAACATTTTATAATTTTTTTTCTCCTCTTCTTCTTTTTTCTCCACGAGGCTTTTCCATATTCATTTTCTCGAATTCTGGAGATATTAACTGAAGTCTGCGATATGAAAGTGTATAGGGAGTTTTGCCGTTGTTTTTCGTGTGTTTTATTGTGTTAAATTTTAAAGCTTTAATGGTTTCCGAGCTAATATTCTCAATTGGGTTCATGGATTTGTTGGGTTTTGATAGCGGAGGGGCTCCTTCCACTATAAGTGTTTTTTTTTTTGGACTCTGCTTCCCCTGTTTCGTTTTCTTTTTTCTTTTTACAATTAATTCTCCATGACCTTTAATTTAATTCTTCAATTCAATTTTATTTGTAACCTTTTATGATTCTGGTTTGAATTTGGCGAATTAGATTTCATTTTGATAGGGTCGGGGTATGTTTGGTTGAATGTAATAAACTATGTAATGGAATGGGAATTGCATTGTGGAATGATTGCGGCTTTTTTTCCGCAGCTCAATGTATTGGAAATTCCACATGTATTTTTCATTATCAAAAATGAAAACTAATTTCATACAAAAATTGATGAAATAGTATCAATCAAGTAATTTCCATTATAGCCTGTGATGTGAAAGTTTTTCATTATCTGCTCTTGAATTTATGATGTCGAAGTTTTCCAGTTCGCTATTCTGAGAAATGTTTATTACGGGGCAAGCAGAGTTTTATATATACATGTATGTGTGTGTGTGTGTGTGTGTGTGTGTGTCTGTGTCTGTGTCTGTGTGTCTGTGTATATATATGTATATAGTACTTCTTTGTTTGATTATGTATTCAACTGTGAGTTGAGTAAATTTTTTTTCCCCTCAAAACTTACGATTATGCTGTTAGTCTTTTCTTATATGAAACTGATGGTTATGGTTGCAATTTAAACCTTGTGAAATAACTTTATATTGTTTGGTTACTGGAGAATAACTTCCCATTCTGCCTCGTTTCTTGTTTTCCTGGTGTAATCTTTCTCTCTGAGGCACTTGCCATATGTTATTTTCCAAAGTTATTCAGTCTTCATGTTTTGTCTTTCTTCTTTCTTTTTTATTCATTTTTTAAGATTCTTGATCCCTGTGTTAATTTTTGCAGCGGTGGTACTGATTTACCTGGAGAAAATCAGACAAGTTGAAGTATCTTTCTGTTGGAGAGGAAGTAACGAAACTAGCAATCCTTTCTTATGAGAAGCCAATGATACTTCTGTTTGACAGTCACATAATAGGAAGGAGCTATTTTTTGAACTTATGGCTTAATTAGAGATTATCATATTATTGTGGGCAAGACAAAATGAGTCATACAGTTTTCCCTCGGAACTCTATAGGAGATATTCATTGTTTTCATGGTTCACATTTGAGCAATAAACAAGCTGGGCCCAGTTGTTCTATGGGGGAAGCATCAATCTTTCATCGGAATCATTCAATAAAGTGCATTCCCAAAAGTTGGTCATCTTTACGGTGGACAGTTCTCCAATCAAGAATAACTTCATTTTCTTTGCCACGTAGAGAACTGAAAAGATGTTTTTATATTGATAGAGTTGATGGAAATGATCATGATGAATGGAGCTCTGAAATTGATATATTGAGTGTAGGGAGAGAATTCAAGGAACAAATGAGTAGTAATAACAATGGATCTCGGATATTGTCTATTGATGGTTCTTTTGTTAAAAATGATGAGGAGACCAACAATGAAATCCTTCAACATCTGTGCAAACAGGGAAGGCTCATGGATGCATTGAGGCTTGTAGATAGTATGGCACGCAGAAATCAAATTCCTCACTTTGTATGTTGCAGAAACCTAATCAGGGGTCTCACTAACATTCAACAGATTGATAAAGCTGTGAAGGTTCTTAAAATCATGATCTTTTCTGGTGGGGTTCCAGATGTTATCACATGCAGCATGTTGGTTGGAGGTTTATGTAAGAGAGGAAAATTAAGATCTGCCATTGATCTCCTGGAAGATATGAGCTTGAGTGGTTGCCCTCCAAATGTGATCACTTACAATACAATAATTCGTAGCATGTTTGACAATCGAAACTTTGATCAAGCCATTCAATTTTGGAAGGAGCAATTAAGGCGGGGATGCCCTCCATATCTGTTAACTTACACAGTTCTCCTGGAGCTAGTCTGCAAGTATTGTGGAACTGTTCGGGCTATGGAAGTATTGGAGGATATGGCAGATGAAGGATGTTATCCTGATATTGTCGCCTATAATTCATTGGTTAATTTTACTTGTAAACAGGGGAAGTATGAAGATGCAGCCTTGATCATTTATAATATTTTGTCTCATGGAATGGAGCCCAATTCTGTAACTTATAACACGCTTCTCCATTCTCTGTGTAGTTCTGGTTTTTGGGATGAAGTAGATGAGGTCCTCACAATTATGAAAGAAACTTCCCATCTTTTGACTGTAGTTACCTACAACACGCTGATTAACGGTTTGTGCAAGTCTGGACTTGTGGATCGTGCCATTGACTTTTTCCTTCAGATGGCTTATGAAAATTGTTCGCCTGACATTGTCACTTATAATACTCTCCTTGGTGCATTATTTAAAGAAGGATTGGTGGATGAGGCCCTTCAACTACTTGACCTTTTAAGCGCTAGTAACTGTTCTCCTGTGTTGATTACTTATAATACTGTGATTGATGGATTGACTAAACGGGGCTCTATGGATGAAGCAATGAGATTATACAATCAGATGATAGGCAATGGGATAACTCCTGATAGTATTACCCATCGTTCATTAGTTTGGGGGTTTTGCTCGGCAAATAAAGTTGAGGGTGCTGTAGAGATACTGAGGGAGATGGGAAAGAGAGGGCACAGAATCAATAGTAATACTTACAAATTGGTGATTGATAGATTATGTGAAAATGAGAAGGTGGATGCTGCAATCCAAGTACTAGAAATGATGTTTTCAAGTCGATACGAGCCAGATGAGGAGATTTATTCTACTCTAATTAAAGGCGTGGCAGATGCTGGTATGGCAGAAGATGCTAGTGAATTGCGCAGGAAATTGATAGACAAAAGTGTTCTTAAAGATCAAAACTTATTGGATTAACATGAGTTTTATGTAAGAGAAAACTGATTTTTACTATCCTTCTCTAGGTTTGATGCAGGAATTTTAGCTTTTCTTTTCGCACTCTTACCGTAGGCTGAGGATCTTTTTCAACGTACAAAACATGTTTGGAGTGGCTTGGCATGTTATAGAGTTGTAGTTTGTCCCTTTTAACAATTTTTTATTTTTTTATTTTTTGTACAGTCTGTTTGGGAAGGAGAGGAAATGGGAAGCAAAGAAAATAACCTTGAAAAGTTTCTTTCCCTTGTTTGGAAACATGGGAGAAAATAAGAGTGGAAGGAAAATTTTTATCCAATTCCATCCGGGCCCACCGCTTTTTAATCTCTCCAGAACGGAGAGAATTTGTGAATTCTTGAGGAGAAATCTTACTGTTTTGACGGAAATTACAAAACAACCCCTAACAGTTATGTTGCTTTTTCTCTGTGTTTCAAATGACCTATGATAAATTAGAATATAAAATAATTTATATGTATTTGTAATACTTCTACATATCTTAGTTTTGGGTTTGAATTATTGCAATTTTGATTGTGCAAGTTTCTATTCTTTTGTTACATAATTACTCCCTTAATTTATTATTATTTTTATTCTTTTCATAAGGGTAAAATTGTAAATCTTTAGTAATAACATTTTTTTTCTCATTTTATTTTCCTTGTCATCCAAACAACACAGGGTGGAAAATAAAAAAGGAAAATAAACAATACAATCTTTATTTTCTATCCTCTCTTATTTTCCTTCCTCTCCATCCCAAACATAGTGTTAATGTTAAACCTCCCAACTCTATGGCTACTGTACAACTTCATTTGGAGACTAAAATAGGAAATTGCAAAATAAGCAAAATGATTCTTTGCATAATTCAGCAACTGATCATAAATCATTTATTCATCTATAGTTTTTCTGATATTGGGTTGAATATTTTGCTTCATTTCAAAACATTGGGTTGTACAAAACATTTCAAAATTTTTTCTTGCTTATATTTTATTTTGCATTTAGATTAATTTGATCGAAGCAAATATTTGAAATAAATGATTCATATAGCTGAATTTAATTAATTTAAGACTGCGGCTTTACGGTAGTTGTTGTTAAATAATATTAGAGATTAAAAATTAAATCTTGCTCCACTGATTTTCTTATACATTTTTCATATTACATATATATCTCTCAAATATTTTGATATGAAATTACATAACATAATAGTTTAGTTTTGTTGATAGTCAAACTCTAGTTGATAAACTTAGTATGCATAGAAATAAAAAACATATATGAAGAAAACAAATGATAGAAGATCCTTGTTAAATGCAAAAGCAACTTTATGTAGAAAATCTATTTCAATTAAAGTGGGAGAAACAATCATAGAAAAACAAAAATAATAGCTGATGGTTCTCAGTTCTTATTCCTCAGGGACAACAGAGAGACTTTTTCATCATCTAAGATTTCTCATTTTATGCAATGTTACCACTGAATTGCGATTGTGTGAACTTATTAAACCATAAGATGGAATTAGTCGAAATTTCCAATCAGAGATGTATTTTTCATGGCATTTTGGTTCAGAGAATTGAACCTCAATTTCAAATATTTATGCAATGAACAAGGTAATACCATTTCTACAAGATAAAAAGTGAAGCATTAATTTACAATTTTAGTTCCTGACAACATAATAGATAGTGCAAAAAAAAATAATAATAATAATAAATAAATAAAGGTTACAACTTAAAAGCACAGATGCAGAAGCCCCACACCAAAACAATCTGCAAATCTCCGGTTGATACACACAGGAAAAATCAAAACATTTTATCATATACAACAGTGTTGTTTAGTACAGACATGAATCTCCTCTCACCATTTTATCTAAAATGAATGTGATACCTGATCGTTTAGTCAGCAGAGAATTAGAAGATCACTTCACATCATTGTTGCACCTGACAGGTTGCTTCTCCAATTCTGCACTCCAATGTTTAAATGCTCTTGAAATACTCATCATAAGAATTTTTTTTTTTCCTGAAAACATCCCACAAAATTATTCCCTGCATCAACATTCAACGGCGTGAATCCCTCGTGTCTTTTGTTCCTATAGAGTTTGAAACCATCAAAAGAATAAGGCTATACTGTAATTAGAAAAGCCTATTTGTTGATTTCCGTTCAAACTCAAAAACCTCAAATGTAGAACAACAGAAATTATTCTTTAGAATTAGAGAAACTGAAGTCCTTGTAAACATTAAGCAAAGGGAAAGTCCTGTTTAGACGTTTGAATGAATCTTCAGAAATAGCATTCATATAGTGAAGGGCATTAGCCAACCTCATAGCTTCAGCTCGTAACCCGGTAAAGCCAACACCTTCAATCAATAAAGTATAAGTGGTTTCATTTGGTTGACATCCTTTTTCAATAATTGCTGCTAGCACTTCAATGGCATCATTCACTCTATTTGCTTTGCACAGTCCAAGAAGAATAATGTTATAGCTAACAATGTTTGGCTGGAACCTACTTTTTTCCATGTCTACCAACAGCCCAATAGCTTCATTCACCATTCCATCCCTGCACAAACATGAAATGAGTGAATTATAAGTTATCTCATCGGGATCAATTCCTTGGTTAAGCATCTCCAATATCATTCCTAATGCTCTATATTTATCTCCACAGCTCCACAATGCACTGAACATTGTATTGTAAGAACTCACAGTTGGAGGACAACCCACTTCATTTAGTTTTTGGAAGACTTCTAAAGCATGATCAGCATTTCCTTTCTTGCACAAACCAGCCATTATCGTATTATAGTTCACAATATCTGGCAAGCAACCATCAGAAATCATATAATCCAAGAATTCAATTGCCAAGTGTAAATTTCCTTCTCTGCAGAAAGCGGCAATCAATGGATCATAACAATAAGCATTAGGCTTCAAACCCTTTTCTTTCATAGACTTCAACAAGCTCACTGCTTCCTCAACTTTGCCGTCATGGCACAGTGCGCCAATCAAAATGCTATGAGTAACAGCATTAGGCTTACAACCTCTTGCAATCATCTCATTCAGTAATTTCTCCCCTTCATTCCATTTCCCTTGATTCAAAAGTGCTCTTACTAATATATTGTATGTGATCACATCTGGCCTACAAGCCCTTGAGTTTAAGATTCTAACAAGATCAAAAGCTCTGTCCACCATATCTTCCTTACACATCCCTCTAATTATTGCATTATAAGTAAAAGTATCAGGCTCAAGCCCTCTTGATAACATTTCATCTAAAAGCTTCATAGCTTCATCAATCCCACCTTCAAGAATGGTTGCCTCTATCAAAATTGTGTAGGTAATCACAGTAGGTTTGCAATTATCTTTCAACAATTCCTCAAAAACCTTCAAAGCCAAATCAAGCTTTCCTCTACTACAAAAGCTTCCAATCATTATATTATATGTAACAACATCAGGCAAAAATCCCCTACTTTTCATCCTATCAAGAACTCTATTAGCATTTTCAATCTGATTAGCCTTACAAAACCCACTAATCAATGCATTATAGGCAAAAACATCAGGTTTACCATATATTTCCAAAATTTCCATGACTCTAATAGCCTTGTCTATTTTTCTTGAATTAAAAAACCCTTTAATAAGCTTGGTGCACATAATAACATCAGGCTTATAACCTTTATCGACCATACACTCAAGAAAGTAGAGTGATTCATTATACTTGCCTGCCTTACAAGACCGATTAAGCAGTTTAATCAGATGAATCTCTTTGAAATCAAGAGATAAGACGTGGGTAGGTCTTGTTTCAGCAGAAACGCTAAGGTTTGGTGGGTTTCTCAGGTTGTCAGTATCATTCAAATTAGGGTGTAAGCAGCCAACAACAGTGCTGTGAAATGAATTTGAAGTGGGTTTCTGTCGTTGTTGGGTAGTGAAAGTGATGCTACGAGGAATAAACTCAATGGAAAATAGCGTCATGTTAATTGTTCTATGGCGTTCAAAGCCTATGAAATTATCATTTTGCAAGAGAATTATGGAGAGCGAGTACCTTGAGACGGAGATTTGCAGGAAAGTTGTAATCGGTGGAAATGTTTGCATACAGACACAATCTTTATGTAGATTTCAACCGGATTACTGTGCATACATTATGGATAAGATGGTGAAACTTAAACCGGGTCTTTTTTTTTTTTTTTTTTTTTAAAGAAATTGAAACAGATTTATTGTCAAATTAGCCTTACAAAACCCACTAATCAATGCATTATAGGCAAAAACATCAGGTTTACCATATATTTCCAAAATTTCCATGACTCTAATAGCCTTGTCTATTTTTCTTGAATTAAAAAACCCTTTAATAAGCTTGGTGCACATAATAACATCAGGCTTATAACCTTTATCGACCATACACTCAAGAAAGTAGAGTGATTCATTATACTTGCCTGCCTTACAAGACCGATTAAGCAGTTTAATCAGATGAATCTCTTTGAAATCAAGAGATAAGACGTGGGTAGGTCTTGTTTCAGCAGAAACGCTAAGGTTTGGTGGGTTTCTCAGGTTGTCAGTATCATTCAAATTAGGGTGTAAGCAGCCAACAACAGTGCTGTGAAATGAATTTGAAGTGGGTTTCTGTCGTTGTTGGGTAGTGAAAGTGATGCTACGAGGAATAAACTCAATGGAAAATAGCGTCATGTTAATTGTTCTATGGCGTTCAAAGCCTATGAAATTATCATTTTGCAAGAGAATTATGGAGAGCGAGTACCTTGAGACGGAGATTTGCAGGAAAGTTGTAATCGGTGGAAATGTTTGCATACAGACACAATCTTTATGTAGATTTCAACCGGATTACTGTGCATACATTATGGATAAGATGGTGAAACTTAAACCGGGTCTTTTTTTTTTTTTTTTTTTTTAAAGAAATTGAAACAGATTTATTGTCAAGCTCTAAATTTTATCACTTAAATGTTGTGATACACGTTAATTTTTATTTTGAATCATCCAAAATTTCACTTTTAAAATTTTACCTATTAAATATTTTAATTGGTATATTTTAACTTATAAAATAAAATCGATAAAATATCTACTGTATTATTAAAATGCGTGAAAATTATCATTTTGAATATTAACAATCTTAAAAATCATCTGTTGACAGTGTGAAAGCAATGTTACTCAAATTCTTAATTTAATGAATAACAGATTTCTCTCAAAGTTGAGCTTTATCGCAAATTTATAATACAAAATTAAAGTAATAAAATTCATAGATGAATTCATATATTTAGCCCTTCATATAATGTCCTTGGTCTAAGGTTAACTAGTTTGAACCCAAATATCAAATAAAATTAATAACATGATAAATGCCAAATAATATTAAAAAGAAAAAAAAAAAGACAAATGCCAAATAATTGAACGTAAATTCTAAATGTATAGGAAGCTCAAGTAATTAAAAAGGTAATTACTTTTGGTGATTCAAATTAAAGATTAAATAGGATAAGAACTGATTAAGGTTTGAATCCCGTCCCACTAAAGATAAAATAATATCAAATTATGGTTTAAAGAAAAAAAATAACCTTGAAATAGCCAAAATTCACTTGCATCATGAGCTATATACCAGAACTATTGTGATATTCAAATTCGCAGGCAAAGATCTTGGGAGCTTTTGTTATCTCATTGACAATTTATTGAATCTTCAACTTATCCATTCATCGTTTCACAATCAGCTTTCGACAAATGATCATTGCTGATTGCTGGACTAAGCATATGCAAATTACACAATCGGATTGAACTGAAATTTTATGTAAAATACATATATTCAACTAGAGAAGCATATTGAGAACTGAAAAATTAGTCTGTAGGAGTCCTAGGAGGTCAGGACTACTGAAATTCGATCCTCTCACAAAGAAGTTAGCTCCATCTGGATCTAACTCTATCTTGTAAGAACTTGATGCCTTACATAATTTTAGCGCTTTACCATAATGTTACAAAGTATAAGTTAATTGCAAACTAAACCTTGGACAAATATATCTTTGAAAACTAATATATATCCTCATTCAACAGCTGGCTAGTGGCTTCCACATATGCAGTTAAAGTGCTCCAGAGTGATGATCTTTCAGGACAAGCCGCATTCAACAAGACGAAGCTTCCGGAATTTAGCTTCTTTGTGAGTTCAATGCCCAAGGGTTTGGAGATCTGCTGATGCATAAAACCAATAGCATAAGCACTGAACTTGAAATTAAAGAAGTGTCCTACGAAATAGAGAATAGAAGAGAAAGAATATCTATTACCTTTATTAACCATAATATGTAAGTAGCAGAGTGCACTGCTTGTGCTTGGAAATCATCATAGTTGTTATCAGGTATAGTTGAGCAGGAATTTACCAGGTACAGTTCATTATCCCAAAAGAAGTTGACATCATCAACCATGGAGGACTTGTCCTTAGATTGGTGGGTTACGTCACCAAGTAGTGGTGCAAAATGCTTTATCCAGCATAGGGATAAGAACCGACGATGGAGCCACAGAGCCTGTAATTCAAGACAGTGAAACACCGGTTGAATGTGACTTAGACACTATTAAATCAAGGCAGTTTATGGACTGGTAAAAATATTGCAGATTTTCCTTTTCTTTTCTACTTAAGAAAAGAGGGGGACTTCCTGGACCCCACCCCCCCCCCCCCCCACTACTTAAGAAAGAGGGGATTTCCTGGACCCCAACCCCCCCTCCCCCCAAAAAAAAAAAAAAAAACAACCACTCTAGAAAAAAGAGAAGCTGTGCTCTGAGAGTGGCACCTCTCTCCTAATGTAATTTTTATCAAAAAAAAAAAAAAAAAACAACCACTCTAGAAAAGAAAGAAGCTGTGTCTGAGAGTGGCACCTCTCTGCCTATGTAATGTTTTATCAATTCTTCATTCCAGTGAAGCTCCTCCTGCCATGTGTCCACATTATCAAAATGTCAGTAAACCAAATCATTCACAGCAAATCCTTCAAGGAAAACTACCAATTGAGTTTTGAGGAAAATCTAGCGATATATGCAGATAAATATAGTCCAAAAACAGGCAAGGTAACTTTAGAAGATGAGACAATCAAGTAATCAATATACCTGCCAGATTTGATAAATTTCAACATTCTCATCAGAGGATTCAGCTTCTTGTTTGTGGCAGGATTCCTCTAAAATCTTGAGCATTAGTCGCTGCAATTAGGCAAGAACTCAAAATGTGTCGAACAAAATTCATGCTGCTTATTAAATGATATATAGAATTTCAGCAACATAGTTGTTTTATTCTGAAAGATTATGTTTTCACAGATAGAGCTATGATGCCTAGTTCTACCCCAGAAGTTTAAAAAGTTCAGTTGCTGGTATCAATAATAGGCAGGCTATTGTTTGTAACAAGTAATACCATGGGATTCTAACATATCATGATACAAAGTCATATCCAAGTTACTCTGCAAAATATTCTCAAACCAACAACAAAATGTACATGATGCTACAGCTGCGAGATAAAAGACGGGGTGTTACAGCTTCTTTCTCTTTCTCTTGTTTCTTGTTGTTTTCCAATTAAATTTTTTATCTTGCATTTACATGGTTTCTCAGATTCAGACTTTAAGATTGAAAGGAAACTCACAGCACGATAATGGAAGCAAGAATTGTCAGCAACATGCAACCCAGCCCAATTTCTGGATTTCTTCAATTCAACTAGGACCTGAAGGCACAGAATATGATTCATACAATTGAGCATAAAAACTAAAAAGAACGGGAAAAAAGATCTTATTAAGAACCTCATCAAAGGGAGATAATCAAAACAGGCAAATAAAGCAAGATAGTTTATTAGACCAATAATTGAAATGGAGGGGAAAAAAGTAATGTACAATTATCAAAACCATCCTTCCATTGCTATATTTAAGGAGGACAAGAGTGGAAGATATTATTATGAGAGCACTCTAAGAAGCATTCATACCATATCAACTTTGAAACTAACCTGTTCCCTTGTCATGTATGAAACCAACCAGCAGCGGTGATTCCATGCACGATAATTCATTTTTGATCGCTGCACAGAAAGTTAACATCACATCAACCCCACCCTCTTCACAGCATCATTTTCATACGTCTAAAAATGTGGTGCCAAAAAGTAACGTTTGCTGGGCAAAGGTAAAATGGTTCAGAAAGACTAATCAAGAGCAACATCTGCCTGTACAATTATACATTCCCTTCCATGGTTACAATAAACTTCAAGTGCAAGATGTGCTTCTAAAATTTGTTTGTGTAAGCTCTGTCGTGGAAAATTTCCAATTATCTATCCTACCAGTGGCATCATTGTGAATGTACCAAGTAAAAATGCTGCTAATGCAAGAATGTTATAGTTTATTACTACGAAAAGTTTATGAACCTTCATCAATTAATAGTATCCAAATCCTGAACTCAATTTAAACCTCAGCTATTTGCTCAACCAGCTCAGATTCTTTCCCTATAATCTCTCGCATAGTTGAGCATCTTCCAGCAATCATCTTGATCACCCACCGCCTGTCAATAATTGATAAATGCACAAGAATTAGGTTTCTATATTTAGAAAAATTATGGAAGAAATCATATCGTACAGGTCAGTTCCCAAGACATTCACAATTTTGAAAAAATAGATAGAGAAAAAAAGAAAACACTATGAATGTTACCTATGGCACCAAGCCAGTTCACTTTTAGGTGAATAAGAAAGGACAAGGGCTGACAAGAGAAGTTCATCAATAAACATTGGAATGTGCTGCTTCTTTGACAAAATTGACTTCCTGAGCGATTCATACAAGGAACTAAAATCTCTAATCACCATGATAAAAAATTCAAAACAAGCTAGCATTTAAAACAATACCAATTTTATATAAATGTCATGACAAAAAAATCAGAAGTTAACTTTCAAATTGAGATATATAAGCAAGAAAAAAATTTCAAACAAAGATCAATAATACCTGGAATTCCATGCAGTGCCAAAATCACAGCTTAACAATAAAATTGCTTTGCTATGCTTCATGACCTCTTTTTCAAGAGATGAAAAGTCCTCAGATGTAGTATAAATGTTGTCGATTCTCCTGTATTGTCCAACAGACTCCATAAATGCATCTTTGGCGGCCTTATACAATTCAAGAATCACATGAGTTGAAATTCCCAATTTATGATCTCGGTTCCAAAAATTTGTACTTTCAGGATCCAAGACAGTAGCTTTCACCATTTCTGAGCTCAAGATCCCATCTATTGATTGAGATTCGGTACTTTCTGCTTCTTTTCTTAGTGTTGCGAATTGGGATGGGTGAATAAACCCAACTTCATCACTGCATCAGAGTACAACTCATAATAAAGAATTAGCACCACATAATCAAACAATCATAGGATGTATGGAAAGGAGGAAATAAGCAAAATTTAATCTTTACATGAGAGGATCAGACTCCAAAATGAGTTCGAATTGATTCAATAAATCAAAATCCTTCATTTTCGAAATTGAATCTTCCTTGCTCATCTTCACTTCAGCGCCACTGAAAGACCAAAGCTAAGTTTGTTCCCCTTTTAAGGGAAAATTAATATATGGTCCCTGAGGTTTGACCAAATTATCAATTTCTTGTAATTTTCGATTTGGTCCCTGTGGTTAGATGGAATAACGAAAAACAACTATAAAGTTCGTTTTTTTAACCCCTTTTCTCTCATAAAATAGCGGACGGTGGGCATGTGTGGAGCACGTGCGTTTCCAGCCATCTCCTTAACCGCGAATATGAGAGAGAGAGATTACAGTATCAAAATGGATAGGAAGGACTAGAGGAGGAAAATAAAAAGGAGAGAGAAAACAATGAAGCAAAACAACTGTTTTCATTTTCTTTGTTTTAACAAAACAATTTTTTAGTATTTTTTTCTCTTTTATTTGAAATCAAAAAAGCATCGTACAAGACGGAAAACAAAACCCATTTTCTGCAAAATTCCTTTCTCATAACTTTCATAAACAGTCCTTCCTTTCTCATATCTTGCAAAATTTTTGCTTTTCTATTTGATTTGATTTGTTGAAATTTTTATCGAGATTCCCTACATTTCCATTTTTTTCCATGGTTATTGAGGAATGTGCATTAATGATTTTATTTACAATTATTCAGGGTTCTGATCTCCATTTATTTCATTAGTGGGGCAAATCCTGTTTTGGGTTTTTTTTTTTTTGTTTTTTGATTAATTTGTTTGTATAATCATCAAGTTGGTTTTACAAAGACCATTCTTAAGATTTTTTTTTTTTTTTGGATTTGATTGTTATTGAAATAAGTAAAGCTGGCTGATAATTCTCTTCCAAAATTTTTGCCACTCAAATAGATTTTGGATTTTGAGTGTTGAAACAATAAGGTTTTTTAATTTACAATTGGGAGTAGAAATCAGTTTTGATCATGGATCATATAATTGGGGGCAAATTCAAAATGGGTCGAAAGATCGGCGGTGGATCCTTTGGCGAGCTATTTCTTGGTAGCGTAATAACACAAGTATTCATTTCTCTGATTGCAATTTTCTTTTTGATAGAAACTAATTTTTTGGTTTATGGTTTGATTGATGCAGGGGTTAATGTGCAGAATGGAGAAGAAGTTGGTATAAAGCTGGTATGGTAAACATTCTTGATTTGAAACGTGGAGTGGTAGTTTGACTTGATAATTTTCTTCCAATTTTTTTCCTTTTGTGTTGGAACATGTTGGCCGGAAAAAATAAAAAGAGTTAATTTATTAAAAAAAAAAAGTTTTAGGTGCAAATCTTTTTCTTGAAAGAGCTTGTTTGTTATTGTTTAGTCTGAATTGCTCTCAGTACAATGTTACAACTTGCAAGTTATTGGAAAAGCTCCTGTTCTTTATGATAATTCAAAAGTAAAATTTCAATTGTAAGAAAAATTTTAGACAAACTGCAGCTGCTATAGAGGTCTCCTCGCCAGGGATAGGAATGGACCTCATAATTTATTTGAAAAGATTCTAATTGAAAAGCCGAAGAAGTGAGACAGCTAAATATAATGTGGGTAGGTGCATTAAAGTAATAACAGCACTTACTTGAAGAGCAGCCGATGATCTCTTCTTCTTTTCATACAAAACCTTCATATAGTGTGCTCACACTCATTCATCGATTTTCTTGAAAATTGATTATAGTGAATGAAGGAGGTGAGACAGCATGCCAAACTTAATAGCATCTTCTGTGGTAGCTAAATTAACATCATACTCTTGTATTCTTTGCATATGGATATGTTGATAGGTTTTGCCTGGGAACTGCTCTCATAGAATTCCTTAACCTGTGATGTCTTATGGGAAATAGTTGCTGCTCGCACTCTTGTCCCAGTTGTAATAAGATTCAAGTCAAATATCTTCAGAGAAGGGCATGGGTGGCATTTGCATTATTTATTTAGCAAGTTTCATTGTCAATTTATTTTTCTTCTTTTTTTTTTACCCCTGAGGTGATATATCATGGAAGTACCCACTTTAACTTGTGAGACAGTGAAAAACTAAAAGGACAACCTATTGAGACACGCCTGATAATTCTATCATATTATCTTGGACCCCATTTAATGTTGTCAAGCTCTAACGTATTTCATCTCATTTTTTAGGAACCTGCAAGGACGAAGCACCCTCAGCTTCACTATGAATCTAAAATTTACATGCTTCTTCAAGGAGGAAGTAAGTTCATAATTTGTTGTCTTGTTAAGAATCAGCTATAATTACGTAATACATCAGAACTGGCATTTTTGCCCCACGAATAAATGATTGCTGTATGATTTTGTTGTTTAATGAAGCGGGAATTCCTCAACTCAAGTGGTTTGGTGTTGAGGGCGAGTACAATGTCATGGTTATTGACCTTCTGGGTCCCAGTCTTGAAGACCTGTTCAACTATTGCAACAGGAAGTTCTCTTTGAAAACAGTGTTGATGCTTGCAGATCAGTTGGTTCGTATTTACTTGTCTTTCTACATAGATTTTTGAATAGCTAAATGAGCACCTACTGTTAAGAGTTATTTCATTAATCCTTAATTGCTTCATAGATTAATCGAATTGAGTATATGCACTCAAGGGGTTTTCTTCACCGTGATATAAAGCCTGACAACTTTCTAATGGGTTTGGGACGCAAAGCCAATCAGGTAAATACTCATGCTGGCAATTAGTTGACTGTAGCATATGCTAGTAGGGGTTTTCTTGTCTTGTTCTCTAGTTCTTTATGCAAACTAAACGTTTTCTGAGAATCGGAAGTGCAGTGGAAAGGGTTTGCTAAAATTTTGACCCTTTTCGTTTCTTTTTTCTTTTCTTTTTCTTTTTTTTGACATCACATAGTATAGAATTGATATGATTTAACTCGCTATTATCATTCAAATTCTGTATTCGATTTTCATTAACCTTTTCTGATGTGGATTACACTTCAGCCACAATTCTTATCACTGCTGTCTACCTCTTTTTTTGTAGAATGTGCAGTGTTTGAAATAGTGCTTCAATCTCTTGCAGTGTTGTGAGACTTCATTTTATGCCATCCTTTACATGGCCTATAAATAATAAAAAGAACGTCTACTTGGTGGATGCTTAAGCTCATAGTTAGAAATTGGAATACCTTTTTTTTTTTTTTATAATAGGTAACCTAGTTGAACAAGACAAGGAAGTAAGCTAATGTTAATATAATGTTCCAGAAATATTTCAGGCACTAGTTTATTTACTTGATGGGAAGTGATCGGTATCATCTACTAGAAAGTTTTGTTTTGAGATAGGCCTCATATTACTCGCACTTTAAATATTACCTAACTAAAGCATTTTGTTTACCAATGCAATTCCTGATTTTATTGAAGTGAGGAGATTTTCTTTTCTTATCATTGAATAGCTATCTAATTGCTAGTTGACTCTGCCACAGGTTTACATTATTGATTATGGGCTAGCAAAAAAATATAGGGATCTTCAAACTCATAAGCATATACCTTACAGGTATTTCCTGCGGTTTTTCTTTTTCTTCCATTTGTTCCCTGTTTTCTATGTTAGTGTCACAATCTGCACCAGCTTCTTGTGTTTCCTTTTGTTACCTATTCTTATTGTTCAAAAAGGTTGAAGAGAATGCTTTAATATATTTTTCATTTGATATTTTCAACTCTAAGCTGTTTACTATCCTCCTGTAAGGTACTATGGAACAGCATTTTTTTCATATTTACAGGAGCTGACTAGCAAGTGCATCACTGTTATTTATTGAACTGCGTTCAAAATTCAGATGATGCTTGGATTGATTTTTCTTACATATAATCTCTCTTTTTAGGTTCTTAGACAGTTAGCACTTTGATTGAAGTAGGATATAAATTTATGACAAATGACTTTTTTTTAGGATCTTTTTCTATCTATGTTTCACAATTCTGTTTAAATTCTCTTGTGGTCTTGTATTGAGACACTTCTGGACATGTTGTGCATTGCTTATATTATTGTGAATTTGCTGTATCTTGGCAGGGAAAATAAGAATCTCACAGGCACAGCTCGGTATGCTAGTGTGAACACTCACCTTGGAGTTGGTGGGTAAAAAACTATGTTGCTTATTCAATTTTATCTGGCAAGGATTTCAGGTTATTTTTTCTATGCATCAAGTCACAATCTAAATGTTAGTTTGCTTTCTCTGCAGAACAAAGCAGAAGAGATGACTTGGAATCACTGGGTTATGTACTCATGTATTTCCTAAGAGGAAGGTTGAAAAATATAATTGCTGCTATACTGACCTTATTTAGTTTTTCTTTAGTATTTCATACTGAGCAATGAGAGATCGCTTATTTGGTGTATCTTCTAAGTTTGTATACCACTATTCCAGCCTTCCATGGCAGGGCCTTAAAGCAGGGACAAAAAAGCAAAAATATGATAAAATCAGTGAAAAGAAGATGTTAACCCCTGTCGAGGTAGTGCAAATTTCAACCTGACACCTGCTTGTGTCATTCTGTACTTTTGGTTGTGCATACATTTACTTAGGCAAATCTTCATGCTTTTGTTTTTTATTTACATTGGTCTTATCCATAGTTATCTTGTTGTCATTCTTGTTTGGAAACCGAGACAGGAATAACCAATAGAATTCTGAAAATTCTTTCTCAGGTTCTTTGCAAATCATATCCATCAGAGTTTATATCATACTTCCATTATTGTCGATCATTGTGTTTTGAAGACAAACCAGATTATTCCTATTTGAAAAGACTTTTCCGTGACTTATTTGTCCGAGAAGGTAAGAAGATAGATCATCTTATTTAACTTTTGAATTCTTTTTATGCTTCTTTAGCGTATTGCAAGCTTGGAATCTTTTCATTGGGAAAGTTGTTTGCTAGTATTACTCCAGCTCTTTCCATGTGCAAGTGCTGCAAGATCATGTGTCTAGTTGAGAGCAAAACAATACTTCTCCTCACTAGCTTATCGTATGAGAATAACAAATATTGTGTAGGCTGTAACAATTTGCATGGCCTCATCTGGTTATTCATATGGTTTACTATTGCAGGTTATCAGTTTGACTACGTATTTGACTGGACTATATTAAAGTATCCTCAGATTGGTTCCAGTTCCAGACAACGGGTCAGCTTTTGTTGCTTGTGTAGTGTGGATTGCTTCTTAATCTTAGTTTAATTATTCTCTTTCTTCTATCTGTTTCAGCAGTCTGGTGGAAAAGCTGGAATAAAGCCACGACAGTCTGTTGAACAAACAGATAAATCTCCAGGTATGTTTGTCTCGAGATAGGAAGGTACACACACCAACCCCCACACACACACATGCACATAGATATACGCACACACATGCACATATTAGAAGTCAACTTCTCATTGTCAGCTGCTAATTAACATTTGTGGTATTGGCCCTTGAGGTTTTGTTCCTTCAAACCTACGTTACTTGGACTTAGGGTAATGAATATCTGATGTGGGTATTTATCATGGTCAGACTAGTATTTTCAACTAAATTAAAGTGTCAAAGGTCATACCTGCCATGTCCAATTGAATCCCAATACTTTTTAGAGTTAAATGATGTCAAAGTGACTGTGCTTTATGCATACTCTTATTCTAAGTGTCATTTTTCAAGCTACTTCTTTTCCTCATTTCAGAGTATTAAGTGCCTCTCTTTTTTTTGTTCATGTTTTAAGCAGCGGGATGTGAGACTCGTGAGAGACCTTCTGGTGCGCTTGAATCATTCAGCAGAAGACTTGCTTCTGGTGGTGTTGGGCAGCACAGCGATCGCTCAAAGCACAGGACATCAGAAGATGCATCGCCATCTAAAGACGCAGTAAGTTATAGAAACCAGAAAATATTTCACTGTTGTGCTTAGAAACTCTCGAGTTCCTCATCTACAAATGTACTTTTGTCTTTTCCAGCGACCTTCTTCAGAAAGAGGCCGTATTACTCGCAATGGAAGTGTGTCCAAGAAGGCTGTTGCTTCAAGCAGCAGGCTAAGCTCCAACATTGCAGGCAGTGAGAGTCGTTCAAGCTGGCTGTTCTCAAACAGTAGCCGTCTATCTACCTCTCACCGAATCCATTCTGCGGCTGATTCCAGAGTCTCACATGGTACTGCTACAAAAGATGGTCATGATGAACAGCTTCGGAGCTTCGAGCACCTCAACATTGGGACAGATAAGAACAAGCGATGAATATTAGTGCATTACTTCTGGTATAAAATGGCGGTGCTCTATTCAGGGGGAGTCTTTGATTTCCGTTCTGTTTCACATAATCGCTATTATTTTTTATATAGCAAAGTTAAAATGCACTTTGCCTTTCCTAAGAAAATTGTAGATGCAAAGGATATTGCTGTTCCTTTTGTAAATTCATCAGGAAGAAGACATTAATCTCCCCAGAAATGTTCAGGCTTAATCCTGCCATAATAGGATTGCAGCTGTGAGTAGAATACTCATCTGCTTGTAGCATTTCTATTCCAACTGTCAGATTAAAGAACTTATTAAGGGAATGTCATTATATTAAGGGATTCAAAGGATTGGGCTTGAACAGGAAAAATTTTTCCTATGCCATAAAATATTTACATATTTTATTTTATTTTGACTAACATTGATTCAAATTTTCTGCTTTTGTCAACAACTACTTTTAGGGAACAGAGCATTAAAAAAAAAAAAATTCAAATTTCAATTTGGCCAAAGCCACTTGACTCTTAATTGTACTGAATATCATAATGTAAGCAAGGTTTGGTCTATTCTCACTCATTATATATCTTAGCTGCTGTTATTTTTTCATTTTTTTAAGAAAATATTTGTCTCTCTGATTTGCTATAACAAAACATGAATAAATATATATATATTGAATTGAATGTATTTTCTCATATGGGATTAAGTATTATAAATTTTGATCGTAATTATTAGCTTGTATAGCATTTAATTTTATTTTTATGGTGTATTTTACATATTTTAACATGAAAAACAGTTTCAAGTCATCCGTCTCCATCGGTTTTAATCTAATTCAAAATTATTTTTTCGTGCTAGTTCAAGTCTGATTAAAATCAAACCAATTTCAATTTAAACCGAATCAATCAACCAAATCTACCAGTGCCAATGTGCATTATTCAATTCAACAACTTATAAAATTTCTTATTATAATTATTTTTCTAGTGATTATGATTAAAATCCGTTGTACTTCTATTTCGGAAAAAAACTATTACATATTCGTGCCTATTAATAACACCCTTTGATTAATAGTATAATGTAGAGATGATTGGTATGCAACTTAGCACCATTATTTGACTAATTATTATATAAAATAGTGCCATATTATTCCCACACTGTTAAATTGTTTAAACCCCTGATTAAATCTGGCAAATAGGACATACTTTAAATATTAATTTGACTTTGAGATTTGATAATTGTAATTTGAAAGTAAAATTATTAAAAAAGCAAAAAAAAAAAAAAAAAAAAAAATTGACTTTGAGATTTGATAATTGTATTTGAAAGTAAAATTATTTAAAAAAGCAAAAAAAAAAAAAAAAAATCGTAGAGAATTTTAACTAAATGTTATAAGAACATCTAGGGCTACGGTGTTTGTTTTTAAGAACTTTAATTTATTTGGAAAATATTTTTCAACAATTTGACGAGGTGATTATAAAAAACAGTCAGACCTGGAAATAATTATCTTGGGCTAAAGAGAAGTATTTTAAAAAAACTTCTATTTTCAAAGAAAAAATATATTTTTTTTGACATAAACTTATTATAATATTATGCAGGTGAATAAATAAAAAAAAAAAAAAAAAAAAAAAATCGTAGAGAATTTAACTAAATTTATAAAACATTAGGGCTGTGTTTGTTTTTAGAACTTAATTTATTTGGAAAATATTTTTCAACATTTGAAGTGATTAAAAAAAACAGTCAGACTGGAAATAATTATCTGGCTAAAGAGAAGTAATTTTAAAAAAAAAACTTCATATTTTCAAAGAAAAAATATATTTTTTTTTGACATACTTATTATAATATTATAAATATATATTTATTAATTTATTAATTATCGGTAACTATCAACATCAATTACTAATCGCCACTGGCTAATGCAATCTACCCATCACTAGTGATCATAATCAATCATTTTTTATATTTTTTATCATATTGAATAATAAAGCTTCTGAATATAAATTTTTATAATTCAAATATCTTTATAGTTTTATAAATTAAAAATTTTAATATTTAAATATAAAAATTAATTATCTGAACAAACTGAACCTAAATTAGTTAGTAAAGCATTGCTTTCACTCTCTTAAACGGCATTACCGTTGGAGTGCTCTTTTTTCATGTCGTTAAATTGTTAATTGAAAAAAACTAAAAAAGGAAAGAAGTGAAGAAAAATTGACTACGAAAATTGTCTTCGCAAATCACATGTTCCAGCACGTGACCAATAAGGACACGTGTCCTCTGCTTTAAGTTCAACCATTATGTGTTATTTTACAGAAACACCCTCACACACATAGACACACTCTCTCTCCTTTACTCAAATCTCTGCATTTTCATAGCTAATCGTCCCATTGAATCGCATCCATCAACACTTACACGACGATATTTCCCTTACTTTCCCTCATTTTCCTATATTTTCTCTTCTTCCAATCAACACTTCTTCTCAAAAGAGAAAGACCGAAAGGGAAAATATTGTTTTAATTTGTAAAGATCTAGGGTTGCCAGCTCCCTAAAGCTTCAAATCTTAGTTTCTTGATCTTTTTTTTTTTTATTAATATATTAAATTCCTATTTATTTATGCTCTGTAGCAATTGAAAAGTGAAAATTTAGAGCGGTTTGTTTTAGAATCTAGGACTGGCGATCTATATGTTTGGCTTGATTCGATTTGATATAAATTATGGATACGAGCCCTGTTGCTGTTGCCGATGTCACGATGCTGGATGCGGAGTTGTTGCAGCTACCGGAGGTGGCTCCTTTGGCTTTCAAATCGTACCCGGACTTTGCACAAAAGCTCTTCGAGCAGTGGCTCGCGCTTCCTGATGCTAATCGGCTGGTACCTTTTTCTGTTGTGCACGATAGTATCTCATAAATTTATATGATTGCAGTGGCTTAGATTTGCGTAGTCATTAATTTCTAATTGAGCTTGCCATTTCCTTATTTTATGGATTGATGGCTAGCTATCTTCCTTTTTTTAATGGATTTGTTTTTATTACGGTAGTTGATTAGGAAGGTGGATTAATTATGAAGGAATTGGATAAGAAATATTTGGACAGGTGGGAAAGGGATATTTATAGCAGATGGGTTAAGGACTAAAGGAGTTTCAGACTCGAGGCGTTAAGGATTAGGAGCTGTATCTTAAACAGAATCTCACTAATGATTTTTCTTTTCAGATCTCAGGCTCTTAGTATCTCCTGTATCTGTGCAATTGTTTGGGTTCATCAGGAATGAGTGAGATTATTAATTTAGTGAGGATAATTTAGTCTGATGAAAATTGCAGTTATTATTTATGGATCTTGCATCAATTTTAGGGTTTAAATGTCGAAGATGGAATGTGTGGTAGGTTTTCTTTGATTTCGTTGTGGATGAATTCTAATAGGCTGCTTTTGCTTCAGAAATATGGCTCTGATCATGCGGAATACTGCCTTTGAGGATGATGATATGCTTGAAATGATGGAGTTGTGGTGTAGGTCGTTGTTGCAGTCACTGGCATGTTGTCATTATAATAATAGAAATTGTTCTTTTTATGTTTTTAAAAATTAGTTCTGCCGGAGTTGTTGGCAAGATGACATTTTAGAGGAAGTTGATGTAGATATTCATGAATTTCTGCATGACAATTTCACAATGGATTTAGAGTTAATGTAAATTGGTTATAGGGTGGTTGAAAGATTATTGGATTTGGAGTCATTTATTTTAGTATTTTAACTATTTGAGGAAGAATATAATATGAACAGCATAGGAAGGAACATAGAGGTTTGAAGAGACTTTTTGAACCATCCTGTCCACTTTTATATTTAAGATATCTTTCTTAGCACGTGCAACATATTGATTATATTGGATACTTTTTCATGTTTAGCTTTGCATTGATTTTTTCCCTTTTCTTGCTTTTTCTTTTTAACAAGCAGTTATAATCCAGATAATTCTTCAAATTGTGGAAGTAATAATGACAGTAATGCATCAGTTTGGGTCTATGCTTATGTTATTTTACTTAATTTTATACTTATTTACATGCATGTATGTGTGCAGATAGTATAGGTTTTCATAAATTAATAATTAGGGAGAAAAGAGAGAATATACGATCTCCTACTTTTCAAGTTTGAGCTCAAAGAAAAGATTTCAACTGCACCTTGAAGTTCATTGCTTGTGGTGATTATTTTTACAAAACCTAAAGTCTAATAGAGATATGAAAGAGAAGTGCAGTTGAAGTATGTGTCTGTAATTTTCTGATCCTTTTTTTTTCCCCTTATTTTGACTGTTACTTGACTCAAATGGTTATGACCATGACAAGGAATATGCGTGGGTTGAACTTTATACTATCTTCTTTATTGTGGATGAAAATTCATTTTGTAATGTCTTTTGGTGGACTTATCAGCTGGATAGCACTGCAATTTTTTATTACTTCTATACGAATGTGTATTCTTTTCTTTCTTTTCTTCTTCAACTTCTTTATGAAAATTGTATTATGTAAAAAATTTGAGAGCTTGGCCATGTAATATTGCTGGGAGTGTTAAATTCTCAGTTCAATTGCCCAAGCCTCTTTTCTAAAAAGGAGATGCTATATCATTTGTCCTATTTCTTGCTTTTCTGATTGTTTTGAAAGTCTTCAATGTCTTTGAGCAAGTAATTTGATTGCTAATTTTGATTTCCACTCTTTTTGGTTAGGTGACATCATTGCTTAATGATGCAAAGGCAGGTGCTCCCTTGAATGTCTCTGGCAACTCTTCTAATGCAACTACTACCACAAGTAGTTCTTTGCCCTCCATGTTTCCTGGAGGAAGCACTCCTCCTCTTTCTCCCAGGAGTACATCTGGTTCCCCTCGTATAACAAAACAGAGGGCTGGCCCTTCTAATTTAGGTTCTCCTCTAAAAGTAGTTAGCGAGCCAATTAAGGAGTTGATACCTCAGGTTAGTTAAAGTCTTTTGTTTCTCCAAGTAATGTGATTGCATCATTCCTCTATATTCTTTCTCTTTACTGCTGCCTTTTTGTTTGTCTGTCACGTTTCCTGCTTTGAGTTAGTTGAGCTATTTTAGTATGAAAAAGTTGGAAAATGCTTGCAGTTTTACTTTCAAAATGGCCGCCCACCGCCAAATGAACTAAAAGAGCAATGTTTGTTTCGGATTAATCACTTTTTCTATGGTCGCACAGATGGGCTGCAGATACATGGTGAGATATGCATGAAACTTGTCCACCTGTTATATTTCTAGTTTTGATATTTTCATTTTTTTTTTCTTTTGCTTATGCAGAATTCAAATCTGTCACTAAGGAGATTTGCAAACTGCCCTCATTCTTCTCCTCAACTCTTTTCAGAAGGATTGATGTTAATGCTACTGGTTTTGTGACAAGGTATGTGTTTCTTGTCTTGGTAAGAAATGTAATATCAGAGAGGAATAGCTCAAATCTTAAGAATTCACTTGATCTATGATGATCTTCTGATATTTTATGTTGTGAACACTGGACATCTCTTGTTTATTTCAGTCATCATTTTACTGAATTAATTTATTTTTCAAAACCTGAAGTTATGAAGGTTTTTTCTTTAGGCTCCTCCCAGAATTGGAATTTTTTTCCCTAGAAAATTTTCTAAGATTTAAAGGTGTTTGATTGAAGTGTTATGGAAATGGGCGGTCTATTGTGATTATGGAAATTTATCATCATTGAATAACTTGAGAATTTTCTAGTGATATATTATGTTTACTCTACTCCTAGGATCACAAGTAAGTTGCTTGTTTTGGCAAACCATGGTCTAGCCTTTAAATTTGCTCAAAACAAAGAAGTTCACTTGGTAGGCTTTCAGTTAATCGGTATGAATCCTACTTTGTTGTACGCCTGATGGAAAATTGGTGAACTATATATGAGGAAGGGAAAATATTGAGATGCACATGCTCAATATTTATTTGATTTATCGCTATTAATTGGTTTAACATGGAAAGTTTTAAGACCTAGAAAATTCTGGTTGTGGGCTTTATGCTAGTAAGTGAAGGAGCATCCAACAGGAACTGCTTGCCTTCGGTTTTGAGTTCTGATTGATGATCAATTTATTATGTAGGATTCCTGTCTTCAAACAATTTCTTAGTTTGTTTTAGGGAAGTATTGAAAGATTGACACTGGTTAAGTGAACATTATCTAGGTTGATCTTTACTTATTTTAGCTTCCTTCGTTTGCATTCAATTGGTGTAAGACTTCACTGGCAGTTCATTGATTGTTCGACTGAAGGTTGTTTTCACCTAACTTGGTTGTAGGGATGCCTTTGTCAATTATTGGCTAAATGGCAATATGCTGACGATGGATATGGCAACCCAAATATTTAAAATTCTAAAGCAACCGGACCTCAAATACCTCATTCAGGTGTGTGATTGCTGCTTTTCACACACATGTACACACGCGCGCACACGTACACGTACAAATTATAACCATACCATTTTATTTCTTTTTGGGATTATTGTTATAGGATTTTGCCAATTTTGGATGTTATCACAATAATATCTGTGTTCACTTCATCTTTTCAATGTTTTGAAATTGATAACAGGAAGACTTCAAACCTGTACTTCGAGAATTATTAGCTACTCATCCTGGATTAGAGTTCTTACAGAGCACACCTGAGTTTCAGGAAAGATATGGTTTGTGTTCTGCCTGTTGATTGTTTTTTGATTGTCTGATTGTAACTAATAATGTGTACACCTGGAGACACCTGCATATATTCAAATGAATGAGATCCTGGTTAAAGCTTTATATTAAGAGGCAGTGTCATTCTTCTGGGGATCCATCATGGTGAAGAACCCAAACTTGAACTTAGTAATATTTTGAAAAGAATCTGGTTGTCCCATGCAGATTGAATGAAGTCATTAGAGTTAGTTATTAGGTTTTCAAGAAATGCTTCAATTTAGATTCAAGTGCCTGCTGTTTCAAATGCTGCCAATTTAGAGATGATCAAATGATGAATACAGGCTTGAACCTCAAATAAGTTCATGATTTATAACCAAAAAATTTCAACATGTCCCCTAGTTTTCTACTAAAAGAAAAAGTGGATTGTGTAAACCAAAAATAGTTGTAAAATTGAAAATCCGGGGTTGTGATAGCTCCAATTTTGACATCTAATGAAATTGAGACACCTACCCATCTTTGATGGACTATTCTAACTTAATGTCTATGATTTTGAGAGAGTCAAAGGAATGAAGAGTCATGTTTCGTTTTCAATAAAAATTTGAAGTGGAGTTATGATGCTCTTATTTCCATATAATTTTCAATCTGCTTTAACTTTTTGTATAAATTTGTCATCTTACACAATTGAAATATTGAATTCGAGATGGAGATACTTACTGCTAGTGTTGCTTATTTTAATTGTTGCAGCGTGTAAAGTTTGATCACATTTTCCCCGCATTTGTTTGGTTGTGGCAATGGCATTGATGATTTGGCATTGGCTTGCACTTGGCAAGCCATTCAAATAGATTCAATTTTATATTTAATTTTGACATGAATTTATCTCAGTCTACTTCTAGTGCCAATCTGGAATGTTTCTTGCTTTTCTGCCATTGTTGGTTTCTTGAGGCTGGTAGCTAACAGAAACCATTATACACCTCTTTGCTTTCAGTGATGCAATCTGTTAACATAAGTTTTCCTCTTCACAATTTGGCAGCTGAAACTGTGATATACAGAATATTTTACTCCATTAATAGATCTGGGAATGGTCATCTTACCCTCAGGGAGTTGAAACGTGGAAACTTGATTGATGCAATGCAGCATGCAGATGAAGAAGAAGACATAAATAAAGTTTTGAGGTTGGTAACCAGCTAAAAATTTGGCATAGATATCCTTAATTAATACTCAACTAGATTGAGGCTAGCCTGACGTAGTTGGAGGAACTTATGTTAGTTGTGATCATGTAAGATAAGATATGTTCTAATTCACATAAAATCTGAAGTACATTTGCGAAATTAAACATATGCTGACAAACATGCTATTTTGTTAAGTTCTGAATGTAATTTTGCTCTTGATCTTGTATACAGGTACTTCTCTTATGAACACTTTTACGTAATATACTGCAAGTTCTGGGAGCTGGACACTGATCACGACTTTCTGATTGATAAAGAGAACCTGATCAGATATGGTAACCATGCACTTACATACCGGATTGTTGATAGAATATTTTCCCAGGTTTGTATCAGTCAGATGATATTTTTGTATTTCCACCCAAGTCACTTGCTATCTGCAGAAAGAAAGTTTCCTTTTGTTCAACATTACATATCTCCATCATCCCCTCATCTTGCTCATTCCTTTTATTCTTATCTCTGCCATTATTATTATTATTATTATTTTTGAAGATCTAATTATGTTTGAATCGCTCTAGGTTCCAAGAAAGTTTACTAGTAAGGTTGAAGGGAAGATGGGATATGAAGATTTTGTCTACTTCATCCTATCAGAGGAGGATAAGTCATCTGAACCTAGTCTTGAGTACTGGTATATTCGAATGTCTTATTCTGTATGATTAAGAGTATTGCAGTAAAGTTTCTGAACAATGACAACAGTTTTACTTCTCTGCTTAGTATGAGGATACCTTCACACTATATCTATTTCATTGGATCACATCACGAGGTGTTTGCATTACAAAAAATCATGATTGAGGAGGCATCAGAATTTTGAGACCAAAAGGAACATATTTGTGTTTTAAAATTGTTCTATGGAGAGAGTTTTAGTCCAGGACCAAAGCCCGTGGTGTACTAAAAATAATTATAAAACAGATAGGTAGGGAGAGAGGGTTTTGTTCATTGCCTCTAATTTGTCATACTTTCTAAAACCAATTTGAAATTTTATTTGCATGATGTGTTATACAGCTATATTGCATTGCAGACGTTAACTTTTGAACTATATTATGTGCATGATTACATTGCTTTTTCAAACAGTAAAGAAGAGTCTTGCGATTGTTGCACGTTGTTTCACATTGAATTCTCTTTATCAGGTTCAAGTGCATAGATTTGGATGGAAATGGAGTTTTAACATGCAATGAAATGCAATTCTTTTATGAAGAGCAGTTGCATCGCATGGAGTGCATGGCCCAGGAGCCAGTGCTTTTTGAAGATATATTGTGCCAGATAATTGACATGATTGGGCCAGAGGTTTGCCTTTTCCTCTTCTATAATTTTATGGGCATTTCACTCTTTCTTGACATATTTCTAATGCACATGGGAGCCTGTTGATGGAAAAACTTGGCATTTGTGGTTGCAAAAATGGTTAAGTATTATTGCTGGAAAGCGCTAGCCTGACATTGATTCTAAAGTGTCAATTATAGAAGTTTAATGCTCCAAAGAACCTAAAGGCTTTGTTCTTTTATTTCCAAGAAGATAGTTTGTACTGCGCTAGTTGCTCTAGATGCAACATTTTTTCGGACATGCTGGTTTGATCCTTGAAGTTTCTTGCCTGCAGAATGAGAGCTATATCACACTTCGTGACCTGAAAGGTTGTAGACTTTCGGGAAGTGTTTTCAATATCCTTTTCAACCTTAATAAGTTTATGGCCTTTGAAACTCGTGATCCATTTCTGATTCGTCAGGTATATGCAGCGTGCTTTATGTTTATTGCTCAATTATAATTTAAGTGCTTGGGACATTGGTGATAGTGTTGTTAAATTTGTAACAGGAACGTGAGAATCCTACATTGACAGAATGGGATCGCTTTGCGCATAGAGAATATATTAGGCTTTCAATGGAGGAAGATGTTGAAGATGCCTCTAATGGAAGTGCAGAAGTGTGGGATGAATCACTTGAGGCTCCATTTTGAGGTTAATTAGGTTATCCTTTTTGATTTGTGCGTATGTATGGAATTAGAGTGATATTTTCATGCATGCCTTTTTCCTTGTACAAGTTGCAAGTTGCTACTTACATTATGGTGTTGACAATGGGCCTCGATGATTTGATCCTTAATTGGTTTCCCTGATTGAGGCAATACTCATTATGGAAAAGAGGACAGGTGTCCCAAAGCCCACAGCAGGTCAACCTTCATTGGTGCTGTGTTCTTTGAGCATAATACGCTTTTTCTAGTAGTGCTTTGAAACCCATCTCCTAACCACTTTGTTTTTCCTCAAATGTTTAGTCTTAGATATGACCATTTTGTTTACCTGAAATCTTCATGTTTTATTTATGGTGCTACACTTGCTTCAGTCACACCAGATGTGCTTTATTCCATTTTTTCTATTAGGTCCATTTTCCTGTGAAAAATGTCTACTCAATTCATTAGTTTACTTTTTGCTGAAGGTGCTTGCTCAATGCTTCAAATTCTTCTTCTATGGAGGCCTGAGGCAACATAACAGTAAACTCAAAGGATTATTCTTTCAGTGGGACATGACGGCTCTGAACTTGTTAAAGGGAAGTCCAAGCTTGGTGGGGGTGAAATGTACTTTTTCCAATTTCCAGCAGAGAATTATTAAGCCTTACGTGTGCATATTGACAAGCAATCAGAAATGACATAATGGAAACCCCGTTCATGATGCTAAAGTTCCTGGAAAGGAAGGGCAGTTGCCCAGAGGTGAGATTTTGATTGTCCAGGTTGAAATAGCTCAGGAGAGACATTTAGTGCATTTTTTATTTAATTTGTAAGATATATTCTACGTGAATGTCTTTCCCCCTTTTAATTTACCAGTTGGTCCTTTTGATACATTTTGTCCGGACGTTAATACAAGTTGGGTGCTGGCTAGGCTTTCTTATCAATTTTTTGGATTTTGTCAAATATCTCTTACTACTATTTTTGCACTATCACTTGGTGTACAAAAAAAAAGTAGCACCATAAATTGTTTAAAGAAATGTGTCGATGGGGAAATCTGTAAGCTCCCTCACCTGCTGCCTATCTATTTTCGGTTCTGTGATGTGGTCTTTCAGAACACGCCTGTCTTCAGGGTTATCTTTATATATTGGAGAAGTTTGTTATCTCTGGGTTTTGAATCGTTTTCATAATTATTGTATTTTTGAATTTGCTGGACCTTGAAATAAGCTTGGATTATCGTTGTGCTATGTTTCTCTTGTAATATCTATGCTGGTTTGATATTTTTCTCCCTTCTTATTTGACATTTTAAAGCTCGAAAAATAGCAATATTTGCAATGAGTAGAGTCGCATGAGTTAAGAGGCGTTCTCGTGTTTTTTGGGACGTATGATGTTTGAATTTTAAGTGTGGCTTTGCTGTATCCTTTTCAATTAATGTGGACATTGTTAAAATAGTTTTCTTCGGATATTGTCATGGCCGTTTAGATTAAAAATAGTAGGTTTTGAAACTGAATAGAAATACCATTGATTCAAAAAAAAAAAAAAAAAAAACAGAAAAAAAAAAAAAAAAAAGAGCTGAAATTTAATTGCAAATTACTTTTGAATGCCTCAAACTTAAGACTACATTATTTCAAGCTAATTAGATTTTTATTGCCCTATTTTTTAGTTTTACTTTAACCATTTTCAACATCATTTATTTAGATTTAACCTATGATGAAAACAGCACCCAAAATGTGGGATTTTTCAAATAAAAAATAAAAAAAATATTAATTTTGTTATTTGGTTTTAGATTCTCTTAATTTTGGTTCAATTCAAACTCCACATTGATCCTTCTTAAAACCAAATGAATTTTTAAATCTAATATTACTCCCTCTATCTCAAAATTAGTCTTAATTTTTTTTACACTATTTAACAGTAGTTAGTTAAATTAATTTAGTTATAATTTTTGTTTTTATTTTTCCATGTATACCTTTATAGACTCTAAAGATTATTTGTTAATGATTCTTTAAGTTGTTCAAAACAGTGGATGGTTAGTACATTAAAATTTTAAATTTAATTATCTTAAAACTTTTTTCTCACCATCTACTAAATTCAACCAATTCTAATTGTTCATGCAAGTTATAATATTATATAACGATATTGTGGAAAAATAAAAAATATATATTTCTCAAAATGTAAATAGAATTATATTTTAGGACCCTTACAAAGGAAGCTGGTAGTACAATTTTAGAACGAAAAGATTATTACAATAATTTTATGATCGGAAATTATCCTGCAATCATAAAGATTAGGTACGACCATTTTTTTTTATTTTTTATTTTTTATTTTTAAAAAGAGAAGATATGATAATAAGATTAATTTTCTAAACTTCCAAGGTTTCCGACGATCAAAAGTCGAAAAAACCAAACCGAATCACGCAGAGGGAAAAAGGACAAAAAAAAAAAAAAAAAAAAAAAAAGGACAAAAAAAAAAAAAAAAAAAAAAAAGGGGGAAACAGCTTGAGTTCTTAAAAAAAAAAAAAAAAAAAAAAAAAAAAAGGGGGAAACAGCTGAGTTCTGTAATGCTAATAACTACTATTAACTACTAGCACAGAAGTAAGAGAATCATCGACCAGCAGCAACCGTTCAAAAGTAAAACCCTAATCCGATACTTGGGAGCCACACTGGTAGTGAATTATTAGCAGTCAAACTGGATGAAAGTGGTGGCGCTAGTCAGCGGCGGCAAGGACAGCTGCTATGCTATGATGAAATGCATCCAATACGGCCACGAGGTTCGTGTTTGTTTCTGGAGGAAAAAAAAAAAACAGATAATCAGCATTTTCTCACTGTTGTCATTTCCTGATTATCTTTTACTTATTCTGAATACATATATACTGTTTAATATGATAGATTGTTGCATTGGCTAATCTGTTGCCTGCCGATGATTCAGTGGATGAGTTAGATAGCTACATGTATCAAACTGTAAGTTTCTTCCTTCGCTATACGTAATCCAGTTTCTTTCTTATATGTCCACCAGTATCTTCTTACTTCTTTTTGTTGTTTTTTTTTTGTTCGAAGTTGTACACTTGAAGAACAATTGATGTTGCTAAAGTTTGATTTTGTATAGAATGTTTATGTTTATATTATTAGATTCTCTTTCTCGGATGCTTTTGACAGGTTGGGCACCAAATAATTGTTGGTTATGCAGAATGCATGGGAGTGCCATTGTTCCGAAGGAGAATACAAGGATCCACAAGGCAAGCTCATGTCATTGGTAAAAGCAATTCTATAATTTTTAGATCTCCAGCATTGGATGGGATTATAATGTCTTCTCAAACAGAGTGAAAATCAATTTGTTGTTTGAAGTTTGTATATTTATATTGTATTTACTAAAGGTAACACAACTTAGACTGTAGGAGAAAAGGCTAAAGATCTCTTAGGAGACTGAAATTAGCAGGGGAAAAATATCTGCATTCACTAAAAACAGTGAATGCAATTATCTCACCTCAGAGTTTGTAACAGTATTTGTGTGTTTTACAGGGATGAGAAGCTAAACTACAGGACAACTCCAGGTGATGAAGTTGAAGATATGTTTATTTTGTTAAGTGAAGTTAAAAGACAAATGCCCTCTATCACAGCAGTATCTTCTGGTGCTATTGCATCGCATTATCAGAGGCTACGAGTAGAAAGTGTTTGTTCAAGGTTAGGACTTGTTTCTCTGGCATATTTATGGAAACAAGATCAGTCAATGCTCCTTAAAGAAATGGTAAATTGTTTATGAAGAACATGAATGCTAGTCAATCAAGATTTTCTTACTGTTTTCTTGTGATTTGATTTTGTTTTTTATTTTTGTCTAATCAGATAACAAATCGGATTGTGGCTATCATTGTAAAGGTACAACAGATGCAACTTGTATCTGCATGCCTTTTATATTGATGCATTTTCTTTTTCATTTTATAGCATGTTGCTTCCACATATTTTTTTTCAGACAGTACTTTACCTATAAACTAATGAATTACGGGATTTTAGATTGCAAGTCTCTACAATATTTGCCACAAGTTTTACATTCTGATTTCTCACCATTATGTCCGTAACTGTTACACTATAGAATACCAACTCAAACCAGCCTCTTTTAAACTAGAATAATGGGTTCCATTTTATTGTAAAGAGTCAAAGTGCTTGCAAAGGAAATTATATTAGCTCATATGACATTAGAAAAACTAGTTTTATGCATGTGCCATGTGCCTAGATTTTACATGCTTGAGTAATTTAAATTCAGATAGCAAATGAGTTAAACCATTTTGCATACATGATACTCTCAATGCATATGAAATGAAGCATCCAAGTTTTACATTCTGATTTCTCACCATTATGTCCGTAACTGTTACACTATAGAATACCAACTCAAACCAGCCTCTTTTAAACTAGAATAATGGGTTCCATTTTATTGTAAAGAGTCAAAGTGCTTGCAAAGGAAATTATATTAGCTCATATGACATTAGAAAAACTAGTTTTATGCATGTGCCATGTGCCTAGATTTTACATGCTTGAGTAATTTAAATTCAGATAGCAAATGAGTTAAACCATTTTGCATACATGATACTCTCAATGCATATGAAATGAAGCATCATTTTGACTTTGTATGAATGGCTTGTGGATTCGAATATGAAGGGAAATGTTCTTTTAACACAATAGGTTGCTGCCTTAGGGCTGGATCCAGCAAAGCACTTAGGCAAAGAAGTAGCTAGCCTGGAATCCCATCTTCATAAGTTGAAAGAGTATGCCTTCTTCTTCTCTTGCTGTAATTCCTCTGTCCGTGAAGTATAATACTTAGCAATGACATTCCTTTGTTATCCATTTGGCAGGCTATATGGGATTAATGTTTGCGGTGAAGGAGGAGAATATGAAACATTGACACTTGACTGCCCACTCTTTGTCGTAAGTTTACCATGTGATTCCTTTTCCTGTGACAAATTTGGTTCAGTTATTTGTCCAGCACCCTTTGCTTGTCTAGCGTCTACCTTGTCATGAAATTTTATGATGTCTTATGATTAAAAATGGAGATTTCAGTTCCTTTTTCTGTCTGTCTCTTTCTTGCAAAGTGATTCCTGATTTGTTAACTGAATTGTTATTCTTGCTGTTACTGTGTGTAGTTCTTGTATCATGCTGAAGTTTTTGTGCTAATACTTATTTTCTTATCTTGCTTCTATAGTTTTGGCATCTTCATAACATTTTAAATTTTTAGAATGCCAGAATTGTGCTGGATGAGTTTGAAATTGTACTACACTCTTCAGATTCTATAGCTCCAGTTGGGGTCGTTCACCCCATATCATTTCATTTGGAAAACAAGGAAAAGGCTGCTTTATCAAGTGGTAATAACAAAACCAACTTATCATTACAAGAAAAAGCAGGTTCTGTGTTTGATGTGCAAGGAGATTGCTCAAAACGAAGTGAGGCAACTTGTCAGTCTACTTCTGAAATCGCAGATTCAGTTGAAATTGAACATGATAGACTTCACATCTCTAAAACAAAGAAGGATAATATTATTTCTATTTCATGCTGGCTGAAAGATTCGTGCAAAGCAGGTAAACATTAAAAGGATGTTCCAATTGTTTTGTGCTTGTTTCTGAGTAGCGTAATTCTTTGTATGCAGTTCTCATCATTCCTTCCAATTCTCATTTTTATGAGTTCTGTTTTGCAGCCTTGCAAGACGATCTAAAGATTGTTCTAAAGCACATTGAATCACAGCTTGCAACATATGATTTTGGCTGGGAGCATGTCCTATATATTCATCTCTATATTGCTGATATGAATGAGTTTAGTACAGCAAATGAGATTTATGTTAAGTTCATTACACAGGAGAAGTGCCCTTTTGGTGTTCCATCTCGCAGCACAATTGAACTGCCTTTGTTGCAAGTGGGTTTGGGAAGGGCATACGTTGAAGTTCTAGTGGCAAATGAGCAAAGCAAAAATGTCTTGCATGTACAAAGTATTTCCTCATGGGCACCTAGTTGCATTGGACCATATAGTCAGGTATTATAATTTCACCTACTGTCTTTTAGTACGTGCATTACACGTGTACTATAATTTTGTTAATAATCACTAATAAGTATGTTATTTATAAAAAAAAATGAATATCAAAACATCCAATTAATTGATACTTATATCATAAAAAAAATTTATAACTCTATAACAATACTTGACATAATTTATTGTTACATAATATCAAAACACACAAATCTTAATCTCTTTTTCTTTTGCTGAATTGTTTACTTCCAGGCGACCTTGCATGAGGAGGTACTTTACATGGCTGGGCAGTTAGGGCTTAACCCTCCCACAATGACTCTCTGTGGCGGAGGCCCTGCTGCTGAGCTGGAACAAGCACTAGAAAACAGTGAAGCAGTAGCAAAAAGCTTTGGCTGTTCAATATGTACTTCTACTATTGTCTTTACTATTTACTGTTCAAGACGCATACCATTGTCGGAGAGACTTGAGATTCAGGACAAGCGAGAATCTTTTCTCAAGCGGATGACAATGCTTGAACAAGATAAAGGAAACATGCAGAAAGTTCTTGATCCCATAGTTCTGTATGTCCTTGTGCCTGATCTTCCAAAAAGGTAATTCTTGAAATTTAATTGTCAGCACTGCTTTGTTCATTATAGCTTCAAGTATGGTATGTTTGTGGGAGAGAATGTTAAAATCAAGGGTATAGAGCATATGTTAAAGCTAAGATTATAGACCAAACCTTAGTAAAAAGAATATTTTATCAAAGACTGGATAGATTATATCTGCATGATAAATCATTGTGATCACATTATCTTAAAGGATTAGCAAGTATATTTTGCAATTCTACTGGTTGTCTTCTCTAAATTCTTATTGTTTTTTTTTATTATGCGTGATAAATTGTTAAAGGATATCCTAGGCCTGTATTTTTACTCTTTCATTATCTGTTTCTAGTTGCTGCAAGACATGCATCCCTGGTGTTGTGTTTCTACATTGCAGTGATACATTATACATACATCAAATGAGTCATTCTATATGCCATGCGTCACCTTGCTGGTACCTCTCTTTGAAATGACTATTTAATTGTATTCATCACATCTATGGTTATTGCAGAGCATTTGTCGAAGTGAAGCCTCTTCTTTTTGTCTCAAAAGACACAGATGTGGCAGATGTGGCAGATGTAACTGGTCATAACCTATCTTCTACCACGTTGCTGAATTGTTGGGATTTTCAGCGGGCAGACTGGCATAATTCTTGCATTCAGAAATGGGTTGTTAGTGGGAAGATATGTGCTGTAGTTTTGTCTATAACAACTGAAATTGTGGCAAAAATCTGTTCAGAATCGTTAGGTGCCTACAAGAATGACGGGAATCAACAAAATTCTCTCCCGAAGGTGCATATGGAAAGAGTTTCGAGATTTTGCATTTATCTTCTGGATAAAGTGATTTTGGAGAATGACTTTTTGTGGGAAGATACAATGGTCAGTTCCTTAGACCCTATTTTCTGATTACAGTGGATTTCTTTTAAAATCTGATTAGCGTTGATATTTCAGTTGTTTAACTTGCATCCATGTATATGTTATGCAAAATTGGTGAGTGCATGTTGTGTATTATTATCACATAAATGCGTATAAGTATATGAAATTGATAAACAGAAGAAGTGAATACTAAATAATCATCCTCCTTCCCCGCCCAAACCCCACTCTGAAGAAGCGAAGCACTTGCATCATTTTCTTTTCCTCCTTTTCAGTTTATTTTTTATTATTTATACTGTAATTCATTGCTTATTTATTTCGTCTTTCATAGACATTGAGGTTCTACTTCCCAACAAGCCTTGACATGACCCTGGAGACACTATCACTCATGTTCACAAGCGCTTTCAAAGAACTTTCTGAAATGGGCAGGTGGGATCAAACCGGGAAGGAGCCCATTTTCAATATTGTTCCAGTCCTTGGTGCTGGTAGGTCTTCTGAATCAATGGATGATGTTATCACCTGCGAGTTACTTGCGCAAAAGTCCTGAATCTTGTTGCTTTATAAATCATTTGTTTTTTCATTAAAAAACTCATGGAGGATGATTGAAGTATTGACATTTTTTACACATGTAACAACTGGTAGGAAAGTTTAAAATAATCGTACAAACTACAGGTTATCAGCTTTCTTTGCTAAGTTATTCCCTCAGTTACAGCTAAACCCCCCAGAAAATATTTTGTACTATGATCATTTTGCTATGTTAATATACGCTATTCTCCTCGTCTATTTAGTTGCAAATATGGAAATCACTGAATTATGAAAATTCAACTTGTTCCTTATGACTATGGGAAAGGTCATTCTATCATATGCTATGCAGGCCTGGAGGAGGCCAAACTCTTTGATTTGGCAACATTTTCCGGGGAAATTATGAGAACGAATAAAGGTTTTCCCAAAAAAAAAAAAAGTTAAATATAATTATTTCTTAAATTTTATAAATGTTTAGACCTCATAAATTGTAGGGGAAACAATCAACATTTAAACGATTCCTTTTTTTTCTTCTCCGTTATAAAGCTCAATGAACCGAAATAATATGACGAGTTACTCTACATGAGATATTCTCTTATTATCTCACTAAATTAGTAAAAACTTTTATGCTTGTGATTGAGATTTGACTTCAATATCTCTCATTTCTCATTAAGATTTATCATACCATACTTGATTACTAGATTTTTACTTTTACTTTTATTGCTTTATTAAAAGTTCATTCACACATTTTGTTTTTCAAGAAAAATTCAATAACAAGCAACAAACATAGATTCTTTGTGATCTCCAAAATGTCCTTTGTTGAAGGTGGAACAGAGAAAAGGATTAAGCCACGACAAAATAGGATAAACTGTATGTATTTGATTTTAGAGACAGAATGACTTTTGCAAGTGACTAATTGGAGTAATGACCCTTGCTAATTAGTACTTAGATTGCTAATTTCAGAAGGGACGTGAAAAGCAAAAAGGAGAGAAAAACAAAGTCATTTCCTAAATGTTGATCTCGGGAACATAAATATTGTTGTTATTAGCAATATGTAATTTTCATGTGTCCATCATGAGATTATCTTTTTCTGCAAAGAGAGAAATGGACAATTTCCCATTACTAACGGAATGTTGTCCATGCCCTTGTAAAATTTTGGGAACAAGTCACAATTTTTGAATGTCTTAGTCAACAAATGTTTTCATTTTCAAACATTGAGCTTGAGGAAATTATTTTATTTAGGCTTAACACATAAATTCCCGATTGTGCTTTTTATGAAAACTGTACCAAAATTATACCGCACTCTTAATTTTATTTATCTATTTACATTGTCTGCTCGCTACAATACTCTACTCTATAACATATCCTTAATAAAATTTGGCTTCACATAGAGAATGAACAATTCCAACTTTCAAGTTCCAACCTTTTTCAATAAGAATTTTATTACTTAAAATTTCTTGTAATCAATTTTGCTTCTTTGTTTTTCTTTCTTTGGAAGAAAGAGTCTTTTAGCACCAAATTCCACAAGTGCGAAATTAGGGCTTAATAAATTGAAATAGCTTTAGAATTATTGGACCTAATTACATAATTAGGTTACAGTTTGTATTGATTTGCAATTACGTAGAACTGTGCCTTCATGAGAGCGTCATCCTCAACATCATTATCAAATCTAACATACTCATACACAAAGAGACAAACTCAAAATTTATTGAAAAAAGAGAAATTTTTGGCAATTATGACTTGTTTGCCTTACGTACAAGGCTTCTTCTCATCATATATAACCTCCATATACTGTTAGATACATATTGGTGACAATTGCCAATATGTACCTCAACTCATCCAATCCACCCTCTCTTGTATAGGTCACAAATCTTGATATTGACCTTGCAGTGCAAGAGACTTCAAAAAGATTTGAACCCACCACATGAATCAACTATATATGCAAAAATAATTTAAATGTTTATATCTAGTGCTAATTGCAATAAAGTTTCATTGATTATAATATAATCAATGTAATTAAGTACATCTTTAATTATCAATAAGGATTGATCTGAATGAAAAGAATTTAGATTCTTTAAATAAGAGATTGTGAATGAAGAAAATTATCGCTGAAAAATTCTCCTTATGGGTCTAATGCGGCGAAAGTAAAATTATCCTCAGGCTATAGAGATGGAGATACTTATGGTAAACACATTTTTAATTGTTGTATTTATTTATACTATAAATAAATTTTTATTACGGCTCAACAAACGAAGCCTAAATAATATTTTAATATAAAAACAATATCTTAATTTAAGTACAATATTAAAAAAAATAGAAATGTGTAATTGACACCATATTTCTAATCAAGAGTGTAATATCTTTTTATTTTATTTTTTCCAACAATGAGATTTAAAGAAAAGAAAATTTAGAACTCACAAAAAACATAGAGAATACAAGTGCCAAAAGGTCTCTCAAGTTATATATATATATATATATATTTGTTGTTGCAAATGGCCAAGTGTGTAGGGGCTTTCACTAACCAAAAAGGTGGTGACTTTAGTGAGCCACAGCCACATGGGTGTGAGGGGTCCATTGGACAAAGTTTTAAGAACAAAGCATGTGTAGGTTGGGCAAATTAGAGCACCCACCTATGCATATATACGTACTTGTTTTGGAAGAAAAGAAATATATATAAGCACAACTTCACTACCAAATAGCAATGAGACCTTCTGGGCCTTTGTTTTTCTTTTCTTTTTTTTTTTTTTTCCCTAATAGATATTATGGTATAAAGAATATCGTCACTCTTCTATTCCAAAATATAAATCATTTCCACAGTAACTGTTTTGTTCTAAAATATAAGTTCTTTGAATAGTTTAAAGAGTAATAAATGATTTTTTTTTTTAATTTTATCATTATTTATTCTATATAATAATGTGAGATAAGAGCAATGATGTGAGATAAATAGTAATTTCGTCATATTATTTTTAGTTTTAATATAATTTAAGGAAATTAAATGTTTCTTTGATTCTCATATAAAAATTTTGAAATATTTATATTTTGAACGAGGAAGTAGATTTGAGCATATTATATGTAACATAAAAAGTAAAATCTATAATTACAAATATAAGTTAAACCCAATAAAAATGAGAAATTGCAAATTTACAATTATAAATTAAAAAAAAAAAAATCGAAGGAATACAAATTAAAACTTGGGATCTAACGGCGCAAGGGCATCAACCTTTCGGCCATTCAATCAAGGGATCATTTGCCTTGCGTGGGCCTTTATTATGTTCCAATAAGAGATTATCAAAAGGGAAGCATAGCCTTTTGTAGAGAATGAATGGAAGAAATGAAGGGCCTTATTGGCAAAAGATGCAACTTGTTTGGTTCCTTCTTTATAGCCTTAAAAGAAAAATAATAGTAAATTTATTATTTATGTCAAATTTCTTTTTGTTGTTTAGGTTTTTTTTTTTTTTTTTTTTTTTTTTTTTTTTTTTTTTTTTTTTTTTTTTTTTGTGTTTTGTTCTTTTTTTTTTTTTTTTTTTTTTTTTTTTTTTTGTGTTTTGTTCACTTTTAAATTAAACGATTATGACATTTTCCTAATTTTATGTAACTTTTTTTTAGTATCAGAATTTATGAAACTTAAAATATTATTTTATTTTAAGATTAGGGAGTGAAATTTTCACTAATGAGATGTAACTACTGATGCCTGCCCTTAAAATAGTTAAATTTATACAATTTCTATTACTAAATTAAGGCATAAATTTTAAAAACATCATTCTTAGAGTTTATAATAGGATTATATATTTGATCATCTTACCTAAAACCTCCTTAATAAATAATGATAAGAGTAGAAAAAGTTATCAGAGATTAAGGAAATTTAATAAATAATAATGTATCATCTACTGAAATCCAACACAAGGGTTTATTGTATTTTTGGCTATTCTAGATAAAAGACATCGAAATAAATGCCGAGCAAAAATCTTAAAACTTGAGCGAAAAACTCAGATATTAATTACATAATAAAGTAAATATTTGACCGAGTGTTGTTTATTTTGAATCAATTAAATAACGCTCAGCCAATTCTTAATAATTTCCTTATCAAATAGCAATTAATATCATATAATTGTTGCTTAGGGCAATTTTCGCGTGACATCATATGATTTTCCTTTATTATTTCCATTTCATTCTTTCTCGACAATAGAAAATAAATTGAAAGTGGGTGTTGCTTATTGGAATAATCCAAGGCTAGGATTATAATTAAGAGAGCAATAACACTGTAGATTCAAATAATATTGTGGACTAAATAGTAAAAATGGTTATTATATTTAAATAATATTTATCAAATTGAATATAATATTCGTATTTGAAAGGATTCAAATTAAAAAATTTCAAAAAAAAAAAAAGGGAAGGTGTTAGCTGGAGCTCAGTTTCAGTATACTGAGTAGTATTTATCCAAGATGTTGGGATTCTTCAAACACGGTAAAACGTTAAATTGAATAGTGAGGGAGAAGAGAACATATCACATGCCCATTTTAAAAGTACAAACCAATCAGATGTCACGTGAGGCTAAGTTGGCTCCTAATAGCTGGGTGACCGTTGGATGGGAATTTAAGAGGGCTTGATGACGCCACCTAAACAAACTGTCGGTGGGGGCTTATCAAATCACATTAAAGCCTCTCCTTTAATTTTCAAACTACAACATTAATTAATTTTTTGTGGAACATATCTAACATTAGCTAGCGTAATCATAACTTATTTACTCAAAATTTAATCTTTAATATAAAATATATCTAAATATCTCATTATTTTCTCAGTTTTTTAATATTTTATAACATAAATAAAAATATAATTGAAATGGTAAACCATTTCAGACTCATTTGTTTTGAATTCAATTTTTGTTTTTTTAGAAAAATGTCCAAAAGAAAATAAAAAAAAAGGTTAATTAGTGAGTTGTGATAAGAAAATGCATGGCCAACGTTTCAAAGTTTGTCTTATGTTTTATATTATATGTGAGAAAAAAATTATTTTAGACAACATATGAAAACATCATTAACATTATAAAACATCACATGATATGTCATTATCCCTTCCACCACCAATTGTTTCTGCTTCTTTTTAATTAATTAATTTCATACCCTAAACCAACAAAGTAAGGGGAAATTAATTTTCTTTTTTTTTTTTTTAATTTTTATCTTACTTAAAAAATATATATTACTAATTAAAAATTAATAAGAAGAGAAAGAATTTCATTTTCACTGCAGTCAGTCTAGTCTGTCCCATTGCTGGGCCAGCATCAGGCATCATTGGATCTCACACTCACAGATGATTACGATAGTTGCCATCAAGTGGCATCAAATGTAATTTCAGAAAAACCAAGGGTTCATTTTTAGAAAATTAGAAACAGAAGAATAAGTTATACTATTAAGTTTTAGAAAGTCAAAATAAAAATTTTCAAAAATATATTTAACCTGATTTATGTGTAGCAAAATTTTTACTGAAAGAGGTTAAAATATCTATGCATTGGAGGCAAAATCCGCTGCATGACCTAAAAATTTCACTTAATTAAAAATCAATACTAAATAGTGCTATTATGAATATCCATTATAAATTCTATTTAAATCAATTTAAAAATTTGAAGATTTTTATTAATATTGGACAAAGAAAAATTTGAAATCACAAATAATTTTATTAAATATGTAAAAACAATGAAAATATTATTAATAATATCTAACAATGTTAAAAAAATATGAAAACTTATCTAGAAAACTACTTTTTCAAATGGATAATCACACAAATTCATGAATTATATATAATAAATAGTTGTTGAAATTAAAATAAAAGAAATTTTAAATGTAATAAAAGAAAGTTGAAATAAAATTTTGTTACTGGTATCAAATTAAAATATAAATAAACTGAAACTCAAAATAATAAATCAATGAATAAGAACTTATTTAGAATTAGAATCTATTCCAAAAAAATCAATATTTAATTTAATAATACTGTAGTGGTAGTCTCGTAATTATGATCAAAACGAAGTCTCCTTTTGTATATTCAATTTATCAAGCGGCAGATGAGGAGAAAAGCGCAAAAGGGATAAGAGGGGACATTACCTGAAAAGAAAAAAAGGAAAAAAAAAAAAAAATAAAGGAAAAGGAGAAAAACAAATTGCAGAGCATAGAGCGAGAGACTAAAACTGCTAAAAGAACCAAAACAAAAGAGAACAGGGACAGAGAGTCAAGAGATCTGAGTTTGTGACCGAGTCAAGCCCGAGTTAGGTCACAAGTCGTTCCTTTGTGTTGTCAGTATTAATTAGCTAAGACGATCCTGACCGTTAGATCCCTTCGTGTCAACCGTTTGATTCTTCTTCTTTCTTTCACGCTGCTATCTAAGAATTTGGAACCCAATAATCCTTTGGAAAAAGCTGCAACTAAGAAGCGGAAACGAGAGGGTCGGATTTCGGGGGTTGTTTTCTTATACGAGTTGGTGCGTTCTCAGGTAATTGTCTGTAGACATGGTGTAATTTCCTGTTTAGTTACTGAGAAAATCAAGGGATAGAATAAGAAGATGAAAAGGAAAATTTTGGGATCCTATGCTTTTGGTTCAATTTATTTTTATTTGGGATAGAAAAATGAAAATTTAGTTAGTTAAAGTTAGTTACTTGTCTCGGAATTCAGTGTAGTGGTGACTTGTTTATTTTGGTTAAAAGGAGTTTGATTTTTTGAAGTTTGTTTTTTTATCTTTTAAAATTCTTTTTAATCTTATCATGGAATAAATCAAACAAAGAGATGTTCTTGGTTGAGTGGGCATGCTCGACGTGTTTTCAGTTGTTTATTTGTAACAGTAACGTCTCTCTTTTTTGAAATTTTTATTTTGTTTTTTTTTTTTTTTTTTTTTTTTTTTTTTTTGACCGAGTCAAGCCCGAGCTTAGGTCACATAGTCGTCCTTGTGTGTTCGTTGTCAGCTTATTAATTAAGCTTAAGCACGATCCTGGACCGTATAGTTTCCCTTTCACGTGTCAAGGGCCGTTTGATTCCTTTCTGTTCTTTCCTTTTCACCGCTGCTATTCTAAGGGACTTTTGAGCTGCACCCCCAATAATCCCTTTTTGCATAAAAATAGCGTTAGCAACTAAGAAGGCGGAAAGAGAGGGTCGGATTTCTGGGGTTGTTTTTTCTTATACAGGGGGGTTGCGCTCAGTTGACCTTGTTCTCAGCTAATTGTCTGGTAGACATGGTGCTAATTATCCGTGTTTAGTCTTACTGAAAAATCAAGGATAGCGGGAAATAAGAAGATGAAAAAATGGAAAATTGTTTGGGAGATTTCTATGCTCCTTTTGGTTCAATTTATTTTTTATTTGGGATAGCAAAAGTTAATGAAAATAAGTTTAAAGTAGTGTACTTTGTTCTCGCGAATTCAGTGTTAGGTGGTGCCTTGTTGTATTTTTCTCGGTTAAAAAGACGAGATATATCGACTTTTTATTGTTGGAAGTTTTTGTTGTTTTTATCTTTTAAAATTCTTTTTTATCTTATCTGAATTAAATCAAAACAAACAGAGATGTTTCTCTGTTGACGCTGGCATGCTCGATACGTCGTTTTCAGTTGTTATATTTGGTGAACCTAGTAACGTCTCTCTTTTTTTGTAAATTCTTTTATTTTGTTTTTTCTGTTGTTTTTTTTTTTTTTTTTGGTTTTACTGTTTCGAGGTTTGTGATTTGAGGGGGAGAGCTTGATTTCATATTAGTCGCGAATGGAGGTTCAGCACTGACTTCTCAATCTAAGTGCCGCTCAGGTTTAGTGTTTTGTGTAAACTGAGAACATGCAAGAAGAATTATGGGCAGTACTGAGAGGCGGGAAATTTTAATTAAATCGATTAACAGAGTGTGCAATAACTCAGTAATAGGGTGATTCCAAGTTTGTCACATTTGTGTGGGTTTATGATTTCTGCAGTGTGTTTCGGGAGCAACCTTAAGCCCCACTCGTATTGCATGAGGCAGTTTACAGCTGTCCTGCAATAGTAGAAGCCTTAATGTGTAGTGGGTCATTGGCTCTACTTGGTAAAGCCCCCAATTTCTCCCCCGGGGAGGGTGGGGGGGGGGAGCTTTGTGAAGGGGGAGTGACTATGCAAAAGAAATGCCGCTCTCTCTCTCTTCCCTTAGAGCATGAGAGTGAGGAGCCCCGCCAGAGTGAGATAGAGAGGGAGGATTTAGAAACTGACGCAGAATCAATGGAAGATATCTTAAGTGATGCCCAATCAGTCCTGGGCCCAAAATTTTTTTTTTTTTTTTTTTTTTTTTTTTTTTTTTTTTGTTTCAGATTTGTGATTTGAGGAAGCTTGATTTCATAGTCCAATGGAGGTCAAGCTGACTTCATCTAAGTGCGGTTTAGTGTTTGGAAACTGAGAACATGGCAGAAATTTGGGCAGTACTAAGGGAAATTAATAATCATTAACTTCTATAGTAATATATATTCAAGTTTTCAATTGGGTATATGATTTGCATTTTCAGAAACAGTTAAGACTCGATTTGTGGCAGTACAGTGCCGAATAGTAGAAGCCTTAATCTTAGTGGGTCATTTCTACTTGGTAAAGCCCCATTCTTGTGAAGTATACTTGCCAAAAAAATGGAACAGACTTTATAACTTTTTAGAGAGAGAGAGAGAGAGAGAGAGAGAGGGGAGGAATAGAAACTGAGAGAATCAATGGAAGATATCTCTAAGTATGCCCATAGTCCTGCCCACTTTGCAGTTGCACACCGTGATTATGCAGCCCTTAGGCGACTAATCTCTAGCCTTCCACGTCTTGCCAAGGCTGGAGAAGTTAATACAGAAGAAGAGTCTCTTGCTGCTGAGGAACAAGCTGATTCTGTGTCTGCTGTCATTGATCGTCGAGATGTTCCTGGGCGTGAGACTCCTTTGCACCTTGCTGTTAAATTGCGAGATGCAGTCTCTGCAGAGATTTTGATGGCTGCTGGGGCAGATTGGAGCCTGCAGAATGAAAATGGTTGGAGTGCTCTTCAAGAAGCAGTTTGCACAAGAGAAGAACAAATTGCTATGATAATTGCACGGCATTACCAGCCTCTTGCTTGGGCAAAATGGTGTCGCAGGCTTCCACGAATCGTTGCTTCAGCATCTCGTATTCGTGATTTTTACATGGAGATAACTTTTCATTTTGAGAGTTCAGTTATCCCATTTATTGGCCGCATTGCTCCATCAGATACTTATCGCATTTGGAAGCGTGGTTCTAACCTCCGTGCTGATATGACCCTTGCTGGGTTTGATGGTTTTCGCATTCAGAGGTCAGATCAAACTTTTCTCTTCTTGGGAGAGGGGTACTCTTCAGAAGATAGTAATATATCTTTGTCACCAGGTTCTTTGATTGTTCTTGCTCACAAGGAAAAAGAAGTTACTAATGCTTTGGAGGGGGCTGGTGCCCAACCAACGGAAGCAGAAGTTACCCATGAAGTGGCTTTAATGTCTCAAACTAATATGTATAGGCCAGGCATTGATGTCACTCAGGCAGAGCTTGTTCCTCATTTGAATTGGAGGCGGCAAGAAAGGACAGAGATGGTTGGTAACTGGAAGGCCAAAATTTATGATATGCTTCATGTAATGGTGAGTGTGAAGTCAAGACGGGTTCCTGGTGCGATGACTGATGAGGAACTTTTTGCTGTGGATGATGAAGAAAGATTGGTAAATGGTGCTGAAAATGATGAGTTTGATGACGTATTGACAGCCGAGGAGAGGAACCAGTTAGATTCTGCACTTCGTATGGGGAACTCAGATGCTGTTTGTGAGGATGAGGAACCTGGGGTCATTGAGTACCAGGAAAATGGATCAGGTGGTTCCTATGAGAATGGGGAATCCAATGGTTCCATTAAAGAGAAGAAGAGTTGGTTTGGTTGGAAGAACAAAGGTTCAAAAAATAACAATGATGATCCTGAAGATTCAAAGATCTTGAAGAAGTTTTCGAAGTTGGCACCAGAAGGTGGAACCCAGAAATCAGTTGACCATCAAAAATCATCATCTGAATTGTCTAGGGAGGATTTTGGGGATGCCAAGAAGGGAAAGGATAAAGGAAGCAAGAAGAAAAAGAAGAAAGGGCCAAGTACTGAGTCTAAGCATGAGAGTGAGTACAAGAAGGGTTTAAGACCTGTCTTGTGGCTGACACCAGATTTTCCTTTGAAAACCGAGGAACTCCTGCCTTTACTTGATATATTAGCCAACAAGGTCAAGGCTGTTAGGAGGCTCAGAGAGCTTTTGACAACTAAACTACCTCAGGGAACATTTCCTGTCAAGGTAATCTGATATCTGATCTCTTGTATTATTTTTGATACTGTACATTTTTTTTACTGAGATATGTGCTTTTTTGATATTCTGCTTAAGCATGTTAAGTTATATTTCACACTGATTGCCTATGGTGTTGGCGCATTCTATTCCTTTCTCCTTTTCCCTTCCCCTTTTCTAGGATGGTTTTCATCTGTTTTGTAAAACTCATTAATTTTTATATTACTGGCTGAACTCCTCTTTTTTTTTTTTTTCCCCGGAACTTTCTTGCAAAAGAAAAATAAATATTATACTCAGCATCAAATCATTGGTGGAGGTTCCTTTTTGAGGATATCAGGAAAATCCAAAAGTTCACATTGAGAACTTTCATGGTTTTCCCCAAGCATATTGGATATTGAGTCCATGCTTCAGTTATGTTCTTTATTGGTTTCTTGTGTTTATTTTTCTCATTTAGTTCAGTGATGTTTATCACTTGGGCTAGAGTTGATCTACATGCTTTTTGAGCGCAAGCAATTTTAAGGGAAGCATCTCATGCGGTGAAAAATGAGATGTCCTGTCTTATTTGATTTGAGATTGAGGAAAAACCTACCATAACTGAGCCTTATTTTCTATTTGATGTATAATGAACTAAATCTTCTAGGACATGGACCTTTTAATCCATGGAAAACCATACAACATAATGGATTCATTTATCCAATCACATTAAATTTACTGCTGTAGCAACAGTGAAAATTTTCCTGAACGTTTAGTATCTTATTTGTGTGCATGCTTGTCTGTGTAGCATAAATATGACATGAACTTATGACACTGAAGAAAGTAATGCTTGGAAAAAAAATTGTGAACTTATAATAAGTTAGAGTATGTTGTCTAAATTGTTTGTGCTAAAGAGAGAATTTTATTAGTTAGTCTTACCTATGAGACCACGTAGAGTAATACCCAACTCTGCCTACCGAGGTTTCTTCTCTCATAGAAAACTGTTGAGCATGACATATTGGCTGTCCTCAACATGTAAAGTTCATGCAGAAAACTCTTAAAATGAGGAAGGAAGGAGAAAGAGAGATTGGAGAAAGTAAGAGGAAGGAGAAAGAGAGGAAGAGGAGGAAGAGATGATATGAACATTTTCATGTATAAAATTTGTGTGTTCTTTTTATAGAATTTGGTTTAGTTTTGTTCAATTTCATAGAATTAATCTATAGAACTGAAATTAACATTTTTTTACATTTTAATCTTGAAAATGTGGAATTCAAAATGCATTCGACAAAATTTGTGAATTTATTTGTTCCAAACAGGGTGTTAAAAGATTGTCTTTGAATGTGGTGCTACATTATAATTTAGAGCAAAGAGCAGTGCTTTGATAACTAACTGAAGAACTTAAAAGTGGAAATCCAGGTAACATACAGCTAGAGACCTGAGACCTACCATGTATGTCCAATGGGTTTAACTTGTAACATGCCCAAAACATTGCTTTTCTGTGCCAAATGCTGCTTCTTTTACATTGATATAAGCTGATTGGGGAATCCAAGCTTCCATAACTAATTTGAAAGTTTGAGCTGAGAGGTTAAACTTGAGTTTCACTTGATTGCGGATGCCATATTAATTCAGCTGCTAGTGCAACCCAAGCCTGACATGTGCTATATGGCACATCCTGACCTATAAGCAGATTTTTTTAAAAAAAAATTATGGAAAAATGATAATCAATACATGTTTAATGATAAATGATGATCAATACCAAATGTCAAATGTGTTACTACTTTCTGCTTGCAACAAAAGGTGCAAAATAAGCCTTCTGTCGTGCATATTTTGGTGGAAAATTTATTGCCTAAGTTTAATATAATTATTATAGCATGTCCTTATCTTTTCATTAATAATAGCAAGAATTTTGACAAAGCGTTTTTGCCTCCTTTTCCTGCTTGAATGCCAAATAAAACTTTTAGAAAGCATGCTATGATATAAGCTGAAGAACTTAGGTGAAAGACATGACACTTGGGATGTGGTAAAGAGTTGCGTAAAACTGTTATGGTATGAAATTCCAGTATCTGGTCAGTAACATATTCTAAATATTGCATGTAGTATATAGGTTAAACACTTGTTCAATTACCGAGCTATGAACAGCATGATGTATCTTATTTCTTTTGGTGCAGGTTGCCATCCCCATTGTCCCAACTATTCGGGTGCTTGTTACTTTTACAAAATTTGAGGAGCTTCAGCCAGTTGAGGAGTTCTCAACCCCTCTCTCCAGTCCAGCACATTTTCAGGATGCCAAATCCAAGGAATCAGAAGGGTCCACGTCTTGGATTTCATGGATGAGAGGAAGTCGCGGTGGGCAATCAAGTGATAGTGATAGTCACAGGTACAAGGATGAGATTGACCCATTCCACATACCGTTAGACTATACTTGGGTTGATGCCAATGAGAAGAAACGACGAATGAAGGCCAAGAAATCCAAGAACAAGAAACACAGGAAACAGGCAGTAGCTAGAGGCGGGGATGGTGCAGCGCATCATACGAGTGAAGATGTGGAAGAATAACTGGTTCAACTACCATAAGGAACTTCGCCACTTAAAATCCTTTGCAGTGGGAAAAAAAAAAAAAAAAAAGAAGTTCTCAACCCCTCTCTCCACGTCTAGGCACATTTTTCAGTGAGTGCCAAATTCAGAGTCGAATCAGAAGGCGTCCAACGTCTTGGGGATTTCAGATCCGGTAATGCAGAGCCCATGTCGGACTGTTGGGCAATCAAGTGATGTGCGATACTGCTCCACAGCGACGGATTGGGAGTCTCGACGCTCCATTTTCCAGGCATTACCAGTTAGCTCTACTTGGGTTGATTGCCAATTGACGCAAGTAATACACGAATGGATACCAAACCCAAGAACCAAGAAACACAGGAAACAGGCAGTAGCCCTGAGATCTCGCGGATGGGGGTTGCAGCGCATCATACGAGTGACAGATGTTGGAAGAATATACTGGCAATCACCTAATAGAACTTTCGCCACTTAAAATCCTTTGCTAGTGGGAAATTTGCAAAGGGAAAAAAAAAAAAAAAAAGGAGAAGGTAGGCTCTACTCGCTTGCACATCTGACCTTTCTTATTCTGAGTCGCTCGTTGAATGATTTACAAGATATTTGGTGGGCAATCACTTATTGATTATGAAGATGTCTTCTTCTTTTGTTTTATTGTCATGTGATGTGAAATTGAAGAGGAGCAAAAGTCTCCCATTTCTTCCACTTCTATTTATATTTATTTTCATTCCTTTTTTAGACATTAATCTTCGTATCAAAATCAGTCGATTATCAAGCTTACACTTTCGGGATTGGTATTCTTTTTCCATAGGTCATTTTGACCTGCCATGTCTGTTTTGGAATGGAGAAATTATGAAAAGTTTTTTGACTTCTACATGACATTTGTGTGGATTTTTACTTTCAAAGCAACACATATTACTGGTTGATTTCTATATACCTGGAAAAAAATTTATTACACGATCTCTAATATTTTCATGTGTCTTTTTTGCGAGGGTAACTCGAAAACAATTCTAAACAACCCACAAATGGTAGATGCTTTTGGCTGTGAAAATCAGAAAATGATTACCATAATAGCAGGATGGTTTTCCAAGTGAGCCACTAACTACCCAATGTACCTGATGATCCACTATCACATGTTCCATTCATATTCTAAAGGATATTTATCTACATTGAGAGTGTACAAGAGAGGCATGGAAGTACAAAATTGAATACTCATTTACAGATGAGAACCGGAATCGTAGATCATTTTATTCTAATTTACATGTGTATTTACTTGGATTTTTGAGACCGGTTGATCCCTACCAGAACCGATCCTTGTTAACACTCAGGTAACCAGCCATTACTTTCCCTCCAGTATTCCTCATTCCATCTATGAGAAAGCACCATGTTGAACCTAATGCTCCGATGAAAAAATCTGCTTCTGTTGCCATCAAGAAATTAACAAGAGGATAGTTTGTGCTGGTTTGTCTGCCCAGACTTGCCTCGTATGTCGCCATTGTCATGTTTCCAACTTGGCGTCTCACATTAGTGTAGTAAAATTTCCAATTGGCGTACAGTTTTGATTTATTGATAACCTCCTGAAAGTAAAATGGATTATTTATATATCATTAGTAAGATAGGATGCATTTAGGGGAATAAATAAATGATTCAACAAGGAATAATAATCAAGAAGAAGCTCTAACCTGCATTTCAGTTGATAGCCAAATGCTATTAAGGTGTGGAAATCGTTGTCTGATAAGATTAGCGAGTTGCATGTACTGCTCAAATTCAACCACCTTCATTTCACAAGCCTTGTCTCCCATTCTTACATGCATGCTTAGCATTGGCCTAGGAATCCATGGCTTGTGATTTGACCATACAAATTCTTGAATATCAGTCCTTTGCTTGTTACTTGCATCCTATCATAAGATCCATATGAGATGGTCATGTGAAGAGAAATATTTCAAACTGTAATAGAGAGTCTATTCAAGATTAACACTGCAATTAGTTTTAAGACTGTGTATGATATTCTCTAAAGTACTTCAAGACCAACAAACAAGGTAGAAGACAAAAGAAAATAAACCTTCAGCCGCTCATCACCAAGACTTTCAAGAACCATCTTTGCAGCTTCCTTCCCAAATGCAGCATTACGGGCAACATTCATCAAGCCACATGTATACCCGGTTTGAAATCTCATTAAGTAGCGTATTGCCTGACAATGTCAATAAGATCAAAGATAAAATTAAAATCAGTTGATGATTGTTGTCATCTATTTCCTCTTGCTGCAAAGCAAAAATGAACTATATGTTGATCTCTGTTGTTCCTGCATCTGTTTAACTTTTACCTGTGCTCTCCACCACCTACGGTCCATCTTACGATGAAAAGTGAGCAAACTTCCATTTATTTCTGTTGTTGGCTGCAAATAAGTCCAAGGATCACCCCATACCCTGCATTAGATATTGAAGCTTTGAAATTAACATAATAATTGCTTCTCAAGAATGTAACTCAGTTACACATGCAAATTACTTGCCTAGGAGTTCGTCCAGCCCATATTTGCTTTGAATTATAGCTATCTTTAGAAGTTATAATTCCATTTTCCCATGCTTCTTTACTGCCAATAAGCTCAAAAGCACGATCTCGGCATTCTTGGGATGTTTCTGGAAAGAAGTAGCAAGACCAACTAGAGCGAGCAGAACCTACAAACAGCACGTCATTTATCAGTGATTGCATAGTTATTCTGAACTCAATTTTTTCCCCAGTTCCATCCGAGGATATCATGTTTAGCTTTGTGTCTCAGACTTTCGAGTTAAAACTTTACCATGCAAGGATAACTCCGTAATTGGAGAAAGTTTTACTATCATCCACTAAGCAATGGGAAAAATTCACAATAATATAAACATCAAAATGAGAAATTAATTGGAAGAGTTCTCACAAAATTGATTGCTAATATTTGTTCATACCCTCACAGCCATCATGGTCAGCCCGGTTATAGTAGCTAGTAACAAGGACTCTTTTCTCCTTGATTGCAATAGCAAGAAGTCCGCACATTCCAGCTAGCTGTGCTCCAATGCCAAACCCAGGTAGCTTCTCCCAATCAGCAACAAGAAATCTTACATTAGGATCCCTGCAGTTTTGTGGATGCTGATGCATCCATATATCGCGTTGCACTTTCCTAGTAAGAGGATAATTTTCTTCATCTGAACCAGTAACCTGAAATAAGCAAATAATAAACATTCAGAAACATTTTTCAAGAACAAGATCAGAAAATAAACAAAAGAAGTATTATAGTTAGGAACATACCCATGGAGGATAAGCACCTTCAGAAATAGCTTGATGCCTAAAGTACCTAAGCTGCTCATTGGCCGTGGAGGCCGGGTGCATATCTAGTAATCCTTTCCAAGTAGTCCAAGGTGGGAAGCTCTCATTTTCTGCGCGCTTATCAAGATGTTCATTTATCTGTGCTCTTAATTTACAGTTCTCCAAATGTGGGGCATTAGGTACAGTAGACTTGCTTAGTCCGAGTCTCCGCAAGAAATCACTTTCTCCATCTACAGATAATTCAAATAATGATGCATTCCAAGCGGAATGCAATAATGAAACTCTCTCGTCATCAACTTCATTTCTACTCCTTAGTGAATTTTCCAATCTCTCTGTTTCCTTCACTTTAAATTTGCACTCTGTGCTTGTAACCACATCTAAATACAACAAAATGCATGTTTATGTGTAAGATTATAGCAACATGAACCATAAGAAATTATTAGAAATCAAAAATTCATTTTACATGAATCAATGATCAATCCCTATTTGCTGAAAGTTATGGATAAAGTTCAAAGCAATTTCATTTCAACATAAGAATTACTTCAAGGGCACATGTTTGCTTCACCTAGTAAATAGAATGAAAATAAAAATGAGTGTCTGAATTTAAATAATTCTATTCGAGGTTAACTTGTTTTAAAAAACTAACTAGGACTGTATTAGCTATTTTAAGAATTATTAAGAATAGCTAATCAATTTTTTAAAAAAATAAAAAAAAAATGGATTTATTATGTACCAGACTCAAAAAAATGAAATCCTAATGCAAAGTTCCAGAGTGAACCAATGGGACCCAAAAGAAATATTTTAATGCTTTTCTAGTTCATAAAAACCTCATTTTATTGTTCCTGAACCTTTAAAGTAAATTGCATATCAATTACCAGCTCAAAAGGTGGGGATTAGTGGCTTCAATTTAAAGTACATTAGATAAGCAGTGATCTAGCTCTGCTCAAAGTCAAAATGACCATATACTCCTTCAAAATCACTAGCTCAAAAAGTAAGGATTACTAACTTCAATTCCAAGTATAATAGGAAACTGAGTGGATTAACTAATTATGATAAACAGTAATAACCACACTGTAGTTAAAGTAAATCAGCTAATTAAACAAAGCCAAAATGTATTTACTAACCAAGTTCCTTCAACTATACCCTTTCATCATTTGCACTGTCACCTTTCATGCATGGATTTCTACCATATCTTAATCCAAGATTTTGATTAAAATTTCCAATTTTCAATTAAAGCTAGTCTAGTCTAACTTCGACAAATTCTCAGAATTACAGCCATAATTTTCTTGTTTAATTTCCTTGCAGAAAATATATTGAGGCAGTTCAATTTTCCCATTAATCCTGTAAATTCTATCAGCTAAATTTCTTTCTGGAAAGAGATGAGGTCCTGCAAAATTTTTATAAAGAGTAAAGTTCTTCTGAACAGGAAACAAATTTAAAAATAAAGGGAGAAGAAGAAGAAGAAAGAATAAGGTAAATTCCACTTACTGGTATTTTCAGAACTCGAATTCCATGGTGATGAATTTTCCAGTGAAATAGCAGAAAAAGAAATCCCACCAATCACAAAAGACCCCAGTGAAGTAAGAGCAGCAAGAAACAAAGAAGTGAGACAAACTCCACAAAGAAAACCCACCACGCAAATTTGACATGAAAATGAACTGCCCATTTGCAGAGCTCTTTGTGACACTACTCTTTCAAGAGATTTTTGACCGCCCAATATATCCATCTTCATCTCTCTCTCTCTCTGTCTCAGAAAAACAGAGGGACTCAACTTCTTCGAGTCAAGAAGAAGAAACCAAGCAAAAGAGTGAAAAAAACAACAATTTGAAACTGTTTCCTCCTCCTACTACTACAAGATTTTAAGGCATGCTAGCCAACTTGCAACCGCAATCACATGAAAGAAGGTTTGTAAAAATAAACCTTTTCCTTTGCATGTAAATGGTATTGTTTGTTTCCTTATTTCAAGAAAACATGGGCATGGGTTTACCTGAAAAAGTACTCAAATTTCACAAAAAAAAAAATATGTCAGTCTCAAGTCTCAACCATCCATTTTCTCTTCTAATAACTTCTTTTAATTAATGTGGTTCACTTTTCTATCTGCTTTTTCTTTCCCTTCCAACTGCAAAATAAATCATAATTTTGATTATAGTTCAGATATAATTGTATGAAAAAAATAAGAACAAAAACAAAACGATAAAAAAAATGCGAACATAAAAAATTTTAATTCGAGAAGAACATTCATGAACAAATTAAGAAAGTATTTATTTTGAAAATTATTTTATAGATAATCAATCATGTTAAAATAAAATTCAAAAAAAGAAACGGAAAGAAGAAGATGGAAGAGATGATCACAACGACGGATTATAAGATAGTAAAGAGAGGTTTTTTTAGATAATAACACAAAACCATGAGCTAATCTAAAAATCAAATAAAAGATAACATGCAGAAAGACACATGCCACTCCAAAGAACACCAGGAAACAACTTCCACAAGATAAGCATCTAAAATAGAACAACTTACCCGGAAAAAAAAAAAGTCTTCAAAACAAATAATTTTACTTTTACTGTGATTCAATTGTCACCTGTCTCTTGTGTTTGTCTTTCTCAAAAAGAATATACGGCCACAGGGAAAGAAAAGGAAATATGATTTTTGGGTAGAAAAAAGAAAAAAAAAAAGAGAGAAGAAAGAATTGTCAGAAGTGTCAGGAAGAAGCAGAGGAAGTCAGTACAACATTGGGAAACTAAACAGATTAAACCCAAATAGAATACTGTTCAGTGTCCACTTTCTCAAGAAACAAACAGACATATGACACCTTCACTGACTGGAGCAGCTTACACTTGGGGCTATATGCATTTTAAACTCAACTACTAATTTGATTTTATAATAATATTATTATTATTGTTACATTGTTAATAACAAAAAGAAAATCCATCTGATAGGAAAATACTCAATTCCCTTGAACGAGCGATTAAATAAAAAATCGATAGATCTCCTATGCGACGCGAATGAAATTAAATAAATCGAATAAAAGCAACACATGTGATATAAAAAAAGATAATATTTTTATGGTATTGTGTCTTCTACTGTCTAGATAGAGTGAAGCAAAGCAAAGCTAAAAAGCCAAACAAAACCCCACCTTCCAATTATCCTCTCATTTAACAGAACATGAAGAAGATCATCATTTTTATTTCAATTTGGGGAAGTCTGAATATATTCTTTCATGTTATGTGGGTTATTTTTTAGAAAGGACCCACTTCATCACCATCATGATTATTCATCAACAGCTGTCAATAATTCTAGAAATTAGTATAAAAAATCTATTGATCATCTGATTTTAGAAGGGAAAATTGCAATTTGCTTAATCTAATGCATACATTTTTAGCAAGTTAATTAAAATATATCAGCTTTAGGAATATGAAATGACAGAGTCAGTATTACTTATCTTCATTAAAGCAGTAGTTTAAAGAATTTGGTGGGAATTTGGTTTTATTTGTTTATTTTATTGGAATTTGTAGTCTGATTTTATGATTAGAACTTACGAGAACAGTTTAGTTATGGTGTGAATTAGTGAATAAAACAAAATTAGAAAAGGATTAGTATGTTGGGTTTGGGTGGGTGGCTGTGCTGAAGCTATTGATGTGAACTCTTTGTAACTGACACACAGCATCAGAATTGTTGAGGACCAGTTGTCTTTGGTGACTGACTACATTTGATTTATCTTAGCAGCCCTAGGTTATTTTTCTTTTTTAATTCTATTATTAATAAAATACGATATCTTAATTATTAAAAATAAAATATTTAAATTTCATATTCAAATTATTTTATTCCCTAAAATTATTGTTTAAGAAAATGAAAAGGCAAGTCAATAATTGGTATTTTATTGAAGCGTAAGGTAACGAGAACAAGTTTGAGACTTCTCCTTTGATTGATGGAGAAGCAACGCAAAGCAGTTGGTATTTGGTAACTGGCGAGTCCGTGAGTGATCATTAGCTTTAATTGGTGATTATCTCTTCTTAATCAGGGTCGTTGAATTTTATTTTGAGAAAGAGGAAATGATGGGGGACCTACCCTAATCAACGGCTATGGTCCTATATATTCCCACCAATTCCAAGGGTTGTCCTTGACCATTTAGGCTGTTACCGAGGTGTCGGCTTCTGAGGGATTCTGTTTCTCATGTTGACGACAAATTTGATTTTCGATGTTTACTTTTAGTCCCAGGCCCATTGGGCCTCAACTCTATAATCGATAGCCTTTATATCACTATTTCACAAGCCCAAAATAAATCAATTTTAAGTTGTCTATTATTTAAAAAGAAAAGAAAAGAAACAATTTCAAAATGATGGCTTGATCTCATTTTTAATATTTTTCTTGATTTTTTTTAACAAGTATCAATATTAAAAAGTAAAAAATTCAAGTTAATCTGGTACAATTGATCCAATTAAACAAAAAAAAAAAAAAAAAAATAAGAAAAGAATAGAACAATTTCAACTGTGGTGGCCTTGATCTCATTTTTAATATTTATTTTGATTTTTTTAACAAGTAGGTCAATTTTAATAAAGTAAAAAATTCAAGTTAATCTGGTACAATTGATGTCCATAGGTGTGAAACATATAGAAAATAATCAAGAAAAATAAACAATTGCGTTGTGGCTCAATGATCTTATTTATGTGGTGAGACATTTCATGATTTATTTAGAGCTAGTTTCAACTTTGTTAAACTAATCTTTTATTATTATTTGAACTCAGATAAGTGGTAAACCATATATGTTTTATGTCTACGTTGGCATCGATTCCATACTTGTTCCTACATGCAATGATAATTGAGACCATAATACTAAACAGACAGAAATAATTTCCCAACGGGTTCACGCATGTGTTCAAGCCGCTAATCTATTGTGTGTTATTGCTGTGAATTTTTCGATTCATACATAAATATACTCTCATAATCAGCTTTATCGCTCCTCTCACACCTCGTATATACCTTCACTTCTTCTCTACTTCTCTCTCCTCTCTCTCTTCATTTTAAAGGTACTTTGACAATCCATATAACGGTTACTTTTACTTGTGCGACTTAGATCCGTACTGGGGTCTGAAAAAAAAAAAAAAAAAAAAAAAAAATTGCGTTGCATGACTTATTTAATGTGCGACATTCAATTATTAACTAGTTCAACTTTAAACAATCTTTTATTATTGAAGTCAGTGACCAATAGTTTATTATTGGCCAGCCTTCCATACTTGTCCTCAATGAACAAACTAAACAACAAAATAATCCCAACGGTCACATTTTCAAGCCCTATCTTTTGATTCTTTTCTTGATTTCGTCATCTATTCTCTAACTTCCCTATCTAAACTCACTCTCTCTCTCTCTCTCTCTCCTCTTTTCTTGACAAAAAGGTCACTTTACATGCACTAGTCAATAATGGGCTGCTTTCTCGCTTGTTTTACTGCTTCTAAGCATAGAAAATGCAAGCATTTGGTGGATGCATCTCCCTCTAAGCACCATGTAAGTCCATTTTCAAGCTTCTTTCCTCATTTTATTTTAATAAAATGACCAACTTTAGCACTTTTTGGTTGTTTTGTTACAGAGAGATGGGGCTAGTGAAGCTCTGTCAATTAATATTAGCACAAAGGAACAAGCCACTGAAGAACCCATTACACACCCCAAGTAAGCTATTCAATGTTATTAGCTAAAGAGTTAGGATTTTTACTTGTCTGGTTTGGAATGATGTTTACATCGATAGTTGTTTACTCTTATGTGGGTTTCATGTATTTTTTAGTGTTCCTAGAGAAAAGAAGCTTGAGGAAAAGTTGAGCTGCAATGGGAAAAAGAAGGTGACCTTTGATCTAAATGACGAGACCGATAAGGGTTTATCTGCAAAGGAAGTTACTGATAATGAAATGGAGAACAATGAGAAGGAAGAGGATGAAAATAAAGATAAAGAACCATCAAATGAAAGCGAATTAATTCCTAATTTGATTTCAGCAGATGGAGAATCTTATCCTCCAAATAATAGATATCAAAATTATAGAACGCAAGAATTTGAAGATTTAGACATAGAAGATAGCTATTCAAATGATAGTAGAGAGAATATGGTTAGTGAAGGGTTGGTTCAAGAAGAGTCATCTGAATCATTGTTTTCAATATCAATTGATTCAAGAAAACAAATTAGTGGAGTTGAAGTGGGTGAAAAGGAGGTTTCTAGTCCAATGCCAAAATGTATATCATCTAATGAGGAACTTAAGGCAAATGGGTCTAATCAAAGTGCTAGAAATACGAGTCTGTATGTTGATTATGTGTTGAAGCCAGTAGAAAATCTAACTCAATGGAAAGCAGTCAAAACAAGAGCAACCTTACCATTGCGCCATCAATACAAGGAAAACATCAATGTGCAGAGTGATTCAAGTTTAGTAGGCATTATTCATCAAGAGCCCAGTTTATTGCTATTGAGTAACAATGCAAAAACAAATTTTGATGAGAAGAAGCTTTTGGATCCAGAAATTACTGTTGACACTAGTCTATCTAGCTGGTTGGTCGAGTCTGAAACAACACCCTTATCCAAGGGCAGTATTGATTCTGTGATTTCTGTTGGGAATTCACCGCCTGTGAAGATAATAAATTCACCAAGAAGTCATAAAGATGGGCTTATTTTGGGAGCATTGACAGTGAACACATTCAAACAAGTTTCTGCATCTACTACTCCTAGACAAAGAAGCCAAAGTCCCGATGATATTCCCATTATAGGGACTATTGGGAGCTATTGGCGTCATACTGGAAGAAATATGGATTCAGATTCAAGCTCTTCTAGCAAAGGAATGTTAACCACTATAAGCAAAACTGGAGAGGTAATTATTGAGCTGATTAATGGTTATGTATGCTTGTTAGTTGATGAATAAACTGATACTAATTTTGTCTTTTAATTTTGCAGGATGAGAGAGTGAAGTGGAATTCTACTCCATTTGAAGCAAGGTTTGAGAGAGCCTTCCTTGGATAGTGTTATTGCTAAAGTTGAGAATATGACTCAACACAATTTTTTTTTGGTTTGGGGCAGGGATGGTGCTTTTTTGCTGTTAATACTTTTTTTTTTAATATTTCGTGAATATCCATGAGCTCATGTTTAGTTTCTTCTCTACTAAGTTTTAAAACTGTTGCTTTCAAAAAAAAAGTTTTAAAACTGTATTTTTGGCTTTTAGAGAGAGTTAATGGAATGTGTTCTATTTCAATAGTCTTCCTTTTTGACAGATATATTATTTCGACAGATTTCTAAATTACATTATGAGAGATTATCAATTTATCATTTAAAAACAATAGAAATTTGCATTATGCGTTTGTCCTGTAACCGTTTGAAAGTTGAAACTTGAATAATCTGTTGCAGCTCTAGAGGTTGGTTTAAAGCCTAACAATGACAAGATAGTAAACATCCAAGAAATTATGGTGAAGAATAAATATAATGATGGAGAAACAGCAGCAGCCCTTAAAATTGCTGCGATTTAGAGCATATCTTACAATCCAGTGGAACTTCCAATGACTAACAAACTGCATTCTCTCAAATTTTAATTAAGCAGTTGATTTTCTGATGAAGGGATATCTAATTATCAGGATTCAGGATAAATGCAAATTGCTGATGATGCAGAAAAATAAAAGCATCCTGTAATACCAATCTTATTCATCCAAAATTGGCGGGGTACCATAATGTACAAAAAGGGGGGTAAAGCACTATAACGCACAAGGAAATCATTTAAACATCTACTGTTACATGGGTACAAGTATTATGACAAAGGGACCATGCCACTTGGTAATCCTATTAACATTATCAGGGTTTGGAGTTCAAAATTGAAGTTTGAATTATTTTGATAAGCTTCAAATGGCTTCATCTGCAACTTGGCATTTATCTTTTACAGTGACTTGCTTACTGAATCCTTCATACCAAAAAACAAGGGGTCCCTACACATCATGGAAGAGCCTCCTTATCTGGTCAACAGTTGCCGGCGTCAATGTGACTGGACATCGGTTATACTGTTGCAATGTTATATGAAAAAAGAAAATCAGTGACTTCATAAAAACTAGTACCTGTTGATTCAAGGATTACATGCTTTACAGACATATGGCCCTCCCCGGAGATGATGTTTTTCCCCTTTAGATTATAGATGGCAACAGTAACGTAATTACTTTTAACCAACTGGTTAAGTGGAACATGCAAAATAGAGGCCTCACCTGTGATACGTATTTGAAAATGCAAGCATAACAGTAGACAAACCCTGATACTGTAACTACAGAAGGGTTTGCACGCTTTTGCGAGCACAATGGGCACATTGTTCTATCTGGTGGCAATTGAATCCCCTCTTTGGCTACCTGTTTAATAACAAGAGAATATGATATTTTTAACACGACCTAGCAACAAATGTTTTCTCTGAACTCTCTGGGTTTTTGAGATCTAGCAGGTGGGGTGAAAGTTCATCTTCAATGGCCATTATGAACATTCATATCCTTTAAAGTTTAAACATATTTTCAGCTAGTTAAATGATATGCTTCCCTGAAATTAGTGTACAAAAAAAGCCATTGATAAATGTGTGTTTGTATGTTTGTGAGAGGCAAAGAGAAAGATCAGGGAGTTGAAGATTGAGAAGTTCCAAATTTCACCTTAGGAGGTGGAGGTGGTGGTGGAGGAGGGTACACAGTCGGAGCTGACATTCTTTCCTCAGCAGATTGGTACCACCATTCCATCATCTGCATATTTTGCATGAGAAAACATAAGCATTGATAGGGAAAAAAATGCATTATTTATCATACAATCAAATTTCTGCATTCATTTTGTTTGAAAATTATTGCTAAATTAAGGATAGAAAAAGATGCTTCAGGTAAATTACTCACTTTAAAAAAGAAGACTGCTGCGATTAAGCCAGTTTGTGCATAGTCAAGCATTGTATATGTACAGCTCAGTAATGCTCCTTGTAATTTCTGTAAAAATTTATCATTTTGAATCAGAATCCTATAGAATGCAACACCTATGACTCAATTGCCAATTTCAGGAAACAAACATAGTATGGTGCAAGGTCCAAACTAAGTCACCAAATAAAAATAATTTATGATGTACCTTCAACCATGGAGGGCCGCGAAGCCTCTCACGTTCATGGCTTCGTATCTTAGAAATTCTGGAAGAAGTATCCATCTACCTTAACATCAAAAGAATTGTACAAAGAACTCAGATATATATAATTTGCCCACAAAAGACTTACATTAGCAGAATTATTTCCTGATTTTATCTAATTTCAGAATATCTAATTTCAGAAATTTCCTGATGCAAGTCATTATTTTTAATTCATCATTAGCATAAAAGACTTGGATGATGATTTTATTAGACCTGAAAAACATGGTTTGCTAGAGGAATATAAAGGGGTTTAGCAAATTTATTTAAACTTGAATATTAGTGAGGAATATCCTGAATAGCCTAAAAATCAAAAAGTTATATGCATGATACTTTTGAATCTAATCTCTTCAAGATGCAACCCTTTTTTGCATAATAATATCCATTCCAATCACAAAGCTTAGTTCAAGGGGTGCAGGTTGCATGTCATACGCAAAAAGTATAAAGTTTGGAAACAATGGTAATTCATAAAATAAAAGTTACATAAATGAAAATTTCCAACTAAGATTCTTGGAAATTTTATTACCAACTCTTGCCCTGTTGCTCGACAAACATGAATCCCTAGTGCATGTAATCCTAGAGAGTAGAACCCAGTAGCATCCAGCAGATATAAGAGCTGATAAGTGAATGACAACCCTGCATCATAAAATTCCATGTTAGATTGGACAATTTTGAGACTTACATGCCACTTCCAAGATAACATTATGATATAGGCCAGTTTGGCAAAAAATTCCATCTTGAAGACAAACTCAGATTTCATTTGGACAAGTAGACAAAGGCAAAACTCTCCAATTGACCGGCAAATATTTGCCGATATTCGATAAAGGGCAGACTTAAATCCCTGCTTTAGAACATGTAAACTTTACAATCACCAAGTTATGACAGAATGAAATGTCATAAAGCATTTTCCATTCCTTCTTCAATAACATGCTCCCATTTTGTAGATCATTCAACAGAACAAGCAGCATTAACACAATTAAAGACATAAAAGAGAATTCAGCTGCATGCACCTTCACTAGTAGCATGTATCCATGGGTAACAAGCAAATATAATCTTCTGAATTCTCTTTGCCAAGCGTACTCTAACTGTTGCTTGCTCATCTGCAGTTCCTCTAGAAACAAGAGGGTCCTCCCCTCTATGAGAGTCAAAATTTTCAAATATGGCATCATCTCCCCACAAACTCGATTGAAGCCTGGCATCCCTTTCTTTGTTATATATCGAATGCAATTTTGACTTGAAATAAGGCAACACAACCTAATCAAATTCACAAGTCAACAACCCCATCTAGGCATCACACTGAGAACATTATTGACGAGGCACAAAATCATTGAATTTTTTTTTATGAAGAGGTGACCTCACAACAGGCTGTGGAAAGTTATTACACTTGGATTCAGATATGCTTTCACAAGCCTAATTATGAAAAATTAAAGTCCATAGGTCTGTTAGTGAACCCATGCGCAGGTCATTGGAGCAATCAAATGGAAAATAAATGAAAGTTCTTTGTCAAAAGTATAAAAAAACAATAAAAGAAGCAGGGCCTACCAGAAATGCAACTGAGAGAACTCTTTGGTGCTTCTGTAATCCAGAGAGTTCAATTGCTTCCCCTGAGCTCAAATTCTTTGCTTTTATCTTCACTGCTCTTCTTCGCAATCCATATAGAGATTCAGAAAAAGAAGCATCTGAATAGGAGTAATATACCAAAGAAATAAGTGCCAACCAGCAGCTATTGTTCAAAAGTAGTCAATAGATGTAAAACCACCATAAGCATTACTATATTAATGTTTTAATCAAAACAACATTAAGACTGCAAAACAATGACAAGAAGATTTTTTTTTATTATTAAATAAAAAGGAGGAAGGATACCTGTTATCCGCAAGCTATGTGTTTCGAGAACCAGCATAAGCAAAGCAAAGAATTCATCTTCATAATCTAACACTTTATGAAGAAGTGGTCTTCTTAAAGCCAATACCTTTAAGATTACAAGAAACAACATTTTCTTATCATAACAAACATACCAAGTACAGAATAACATGAAATGTAATTCAAATTCATCCAAATGAAAAAAATAAAAATTTCAAAGAGGACATCGACAATTTAGAAATGAAAAAACGCACAAACACATCAAATTCTCATTCCATTAAAAACTATGCTGTAGAAAAAGCTGCAGGAACTAATAAAGTTCAAAACTTTAGGTTATATTTATATATTGAGCCTATTTCTAGCTTACCCCTATGGAGTAGGTGAGAGCGGCCCGCAGACTGGCCGGAAGTTGTTGTGCAGCAGCCATCTCGAAGAAAGTTGGACGAGTCCCCTGACCTCCTACTTGAAACAACATTTTCGTCTTCGTTTAACTGAAATTCTGTGTGTTTTTGGTATAGATTTGCTGATTCTAATTTTGCAGGGTTGGGGTTTCAAGGTCCTGCTCGATCTTTCTCTTACCGTCACTTTCCAGTTCTTATCCATCATCTTTCCAAATGTCGTTAGCAAGTTGGCATATGCGAACGGTTTGCCGTTTGATTAATTTGTACCAACATTTTAAGATCTCTTTCCCTTTTTTTTTTTACAATTCCCTAATATATTACTATGAATTTTCATATATTATATAAACAAAAATATTAATTAGATTTTTATTAATTTTAATCTTATCTATTGTCTTTAAATCATTATAAAGAAAATAATCACATAAGAATTTCAAAATTTTTAAAGAATAATTTTATTAATAATTATTCTTATAATATTAAAATATCAAAATATAATATAAATATAAATAAATTAATAACTAAAAGGAAAAATTTCAAAATGCAGTTGAAAAAATTAGAAACTGATTAAGAATTTCTATCAACTATACAAATACAACTAAACCAAACGCCTATCTAATTTATTAACTGAAGCATTAGATTGCTTGTGATTTCTAATTGTTGATCCTTATTGTATAAATAAACTATTATAAAATCCTTCCAATTTTCTTCCCAATTCAGTTTTTTAATTTTGATCACATGCAACATTATTTAATATTTATAATTTATTTATTTTATAAATTAATATCCTTGATTCTGCAAATTTGCATATACCAATAACATCTCAATATGATAAAACTCTGCAAATCACTAAACTAAACTTGCAAGTGGAATCCTAATTTGCGTTTCCCCTTAATACGATATCACATAAATATTAATAACATAATAATAATAATAATAATAATAATAGCAAGAGCTCGCGCTAAATCAGGTTATGATTGATTTTTTCGTTTGTAATAAAAATGCGAAGCTTAAACTTTTTTTGGAAAAAAAAAATATGTATAACTTATAAGAATAATATTTTTTAGATGAACATTAAAGTTTTATTAAATACTCATATCAAACTTGATTAATGTATTGAATTTCAATTTTAAAAAAAAAAAAAAGAAAAAAAAAAAAAAAAAAAAAGAAAAAAAAAGAAAGGAAGAACCGTTAATGTCCGGATGCTGATCATCGGACATCCATCTCCTATTAGCTTAAATTTTTTTAATACTAATTGAGTTGGATTAATACTCTGATATAGTTTGCACACAAAATAAATAAACAATTGCAAGTTGAAGTCTAGAAATCAACCATAAAATAGTATAAATTAAATCATGATAAGTAAAGTTGTGAAGAAAAGTCATTCCTGCTAACCCATCTATCACTCATTCTTTTAACAGTACCACACAGTAATTATTTATTTTATTTTATTATTAATTATGATTGTTTACATAATTTTTCAACTAATAAATATGATATTTATACTAAAATTATTGTATTTGGTTGCAAATAATGATTAATTTAAATGGTAAGAATGCTGGGTATTAGAAATAAAAATTAAACTTATGAATTTTTTGATTAGGAGTGAAGACAATATTCGATGCATAATAATATGACGATCTAATTATCGAAAAAATGATGCAAAATCAATTATTTCAATCATTAAAAAAAATTAAAAAATAAATTAACAAACTTTGAAAATAAGAGCAAGATTCACTGAATCCCCCGCCTGTCGGGTGTTCATTGGTTGGTGGTAAAGAGCATGGGATCTTGGGAATTAAAAGTTTAATAATGAATTGTAAACGATGAATAGTTTTTATCTACATTCAGAAAAATTCGAAATCTAAAATTTACTTCAATCAGAATCACAGGTAATTTAATAATAACGAAAATGGAACATTATCTATTTTAAATAAAACAATTTTAAAAAAAAAAAAAAGAAAAAAAAAGAAAGGAAGAACCGTAATGTCCGGATCTATCATCGGACATCCATTCCTAGCTAATTTTTTTAATACTAATTGGAGTTGGATTAATACTTGATATATGCACACAAAACTAAATAAACAAGCAAGTTGAATACTGAAATACATAAATAAATAAATAAATAGATAAGCTAAGTTGTTAATGAAAGTCATTTCCTGCTACCCCTTCTACGTACCAAGTAATTATTTATTTATTTATTATTATTATGATTTTAACATATTTTTAACTATAAAAATATTTATCAAAATTTGTATTTGTCAAATAATGAAATAAATGTAAGAATGCTGTTTAAGAAAAATTAAACATAATTTGATTAGGAGTGAAGACAATATTGATGCATAATAATTGACGATTAATTATCGAAAAATGATGCAAAATAATTATTTCATCATTAAAAAAAATAAAAAAATAAAATAAAAACTTGAAAATAAGACAAGATCAGCTGAATCCCCCGCCTGTCGGTGTTCATGGTTGGTGGTAAAGAGATGGGATCTTGGGAATTAAAAGTTAATAATGAATTGTAAACGATGATAGTTTTATCTACAAATTCAGAAAATTCGAAATCTAAAATTTACTTCATAGAATCACAGGTAAAATTTAATAATAACGAATGGAACCATTATCTATTTTAATAAAACTAGGTTTTAATCTTAATGTTTTTGAAGATCAGTTGTTGTCATTTTCACTTCATCTTTTAATTAATCCAAGACCTTACTCAAAAGTCATTAATTAATAAGTGTAAGGAAGTACTTCCCTATGGTTAAGTTAAGCCTCTTTCTCACTATTTTCTTATAAATACCAGACTCTTTCTTCACATCTGACTCAAAACATCCTTAATCACACTTCTTCACAATCTTTCTCTTGTTGTCTCTGAAGCAAAGATCAATGTCGTCACATAATGTGGTTCAAGTGGTTACTGAAGAAAATGGCAACAAGAAAATGAAATGTGAGGTAGGAGAGTGCAAGAAAATAAAAGGTAACGTCATTTTGAAGAAGAAGAAGACTGTTTTGCTGGGTATCAATGACCCTCAAGCGTCTCTTCATGATTTCTTTGACGGGTTAAGGGGCCGGAGAGTCTCTTTGCAACTCATAAGTGCTGTTAATGGTGACCCTGGTAAAGTTTCTTTTTAACTTCGTTATTTTTCACCTTGCAAATGAATAAAGAGATCTTAGTTCCTATGGGTGCAAAAATAACTAATGAACATGTGCAGAAGATGGACATCGAGGCAAACTAGGACACCCTGTATACTTGGAGAAATGGAATACATCGGACTCCATTAAAGCCAGTAAAAGAAATTTCCAGATTACATTTGACTGGGAGGAGGACATTGGAATTCCAGGGGCGTTCACTGTAAGAAATAATCACCATACTGAATTCTACCTGGAGAGTCTCACACTTGAAGATGTTCCTGGCCATGGCTCCATCCATTTTGTTTGCAACTCATGGATTTACCCTGCAGAAAATCATGAAAAGGATCGTGTTTTCTTTCCTAACAAGGTCAAGATTTTCCATTTTCCTTTCATTTCGTATGGTATCTGCAGCTAAAAACTAATACTTCAGCAACTCAGTCATATATCAGTATAGTTAGTAGTGATTCCCGATAGTTCATTAATTAGATTTATCTTTCATATTGAGTATTAGGGAAAAAGGCTAATTATATTACCTGTACCTTCATTAGAGGATTTGGTTCTTGGCAATTACTATGTTGGCAAGTTAAAACTGCAATGCACTTTTTTTTAGCTAAAAATTGTTCTTTAGATAGCAAATAGTGCAGAAGTTTAGTTGTGAATAATGTTTAATTTTATGATAATAATGAAGGCATATATTCCCCAAAAGACACCAACACCTTTGCACAAGTACAGAGAAGAAGAACTGGAGAATTTAAGAGGAAGTGGAAAAGGAGAGCTTCAGGAAGCTGACAGGGTTTATGACTATGCATACTACAATGACTTGGGAGATCCTGATAAAGATCCAAAATATGCCCGTCCAACTCTTGGCGGGTCAACTGAGCATCCTTATCCTCGCAGAGTAAGAACAGGCCGAGAACCAATGAAGACAGGTTAGAAAATTCTGCAGGAAAATTTGACATTAAATTGTTGATTTTGCAAAATAATGTTCAGAATATAAAGGCTAGTGTCCCATTTTATCTTAAACAGATCCTGACTGTGAGAGTAGATTACCTCCTCATAAGAGCTTAAGCATTTATGTTCCAAGAGACGAACAATTTGGTCATTCCAAGAAGAAAGAATTCATTGTTAATTCACTCAAATCTTTAGCTCAAATTATTGGACCTGGGTTAGAAGCTGTGTTTGGTGGAGAGTTTGACAATCACAATAACATGTTAAGTCTCTTTGAAGGAGGAATCAAAGTACCTGATGACCCTTTACATGATGTTGTAGCTAACAACAATCCCCTGAAGATATTTAAGGCGATATTTCGAAGTGATGAAGGATCTGTATTCAAATTTCCAGTGCCTCATGTGATTAAAGGTATTGGATTTTATTTGGGAGTCAAATTTATGAACGTGTGTTACATGGTTTTCTTCCAATACTGCTTAATTGTGGAATTATACTGATTTGAGCAGAAGATAAATCTGCATGGATGAGTGATGAGGAATTTGCTAGAGAAATGCTAGCTGGTTTAAATCCTGTCAATATTCGTCGTCTCGAGGTTAGCACAATCTCCTTAGCAAAGTTTTCTTTTGCTATTGCATGCCATAGAAAGTACATAAATGCTAGAGAAACTTGGTACACAGGAATTCCCTCCCAGAAGCAAGCTAAACCCTGAACAATATGGTAATCAGAACAGTTCAATAAAGAAGGAGAACATAGAGCATAATCTAAGTGGAATGAGTATATACGAGGTATGTTTCCTAATTTACTTCTGTTTCACAGTATTGTGTCTCAATCTATCAGTTTATGGACGTTTGTGCTTTATTTTAAGAACACAGCAGGCGATAAAGAAGAACAAGTTATTCATATTGGATTACCATGATGCACTGATGCCACACCTGAGGCAGATAAATAGCAGTTCCTCAAAGATTTATGCATCAAGAACATTTCTTTTCTTGAAAGAAGATGGAACCTTGAAGCCACTGGCAATTGAATTAAGCTTGCCTCATTGTGAGGGATACCAATTTGGAGCAGTAAGCAATGTATACACTCCTGCTGAACATGGTATCGAAGGTTCCATTTGGCAATTGGCTAAAGCTTATGTGTCCGTAAATGATTCAGGATTTCATCAGCTGATTAGTCACTGGTAAAATATCAAATTTCAATGTAAGCTTATAGATAACAAGTAGCAACATATATGGGGGTATTGAGTGACTTCATACTTTTTGTTGCAGGTTGAACACGCATGCAGTAATTGAACCATTTATAATCGCAACAAATAGGCAGCTAAGCGTACTTCATCCAGTTCATAAGCTTTTGCATCCTCATTTTCGTGACACGCTGTTTATAAATGCATTAGCTAGACAAGTTCTCATTAGTGCTGGAGGAATGCTGGAGTCAACCGTTTTTCCAGGAGAATATGCTATGCAAATGTCTTCTGCAGTCTACAAAGACTGGATTTTTACTGATCAAGCACTTCCTAAAGATCTCAAGAAGAGGTAAATTTTGGTTCTCTGTCTCTTGTTGAAATTAGAGATAGAAATGAGTATAACAAATCAGGATAAATTTTGGTTCTATGATACTCATTATATTGTTTTCTGCAGAGGAATGGCAGTTGAGGACGAGAATTCACCTTATGGTCTTCGTCTAGTCATAGAAGACTACCCTTATGCAGTTGATGGGCTTGAGATATGGTCAGCAATCAAAAAATGGGTTAAAGGGTATTGCTCCTTCTACTACGAGTCCAATGAAATGGTTCAAAACGACACTGAACTCCAATCCTGGTGGAAGGAACTCCAAGAGGAAGGCCATGGCGACAAGAATGGCGAACCGTGGTGGTCGAGGATGCAAACTTGTGAAGAACTAATGGAAACATGCTCTATCATCATATGGATCGCTTCTGCTCTCCATGCAGCAGTCAATTTCGGACAGTATCCTTTTGCAGGTTATCTCCCGAACCGCCCAACCATCAGCCGCAGGTGGATGCCTGAAAAAGGCTCTGCTGAGTATAAGGAACTTGAATTAAATCCTGAAGTTGTTTTCTTCCAAACAATCACAGCCAAACCACAGGCACTTCTGGGCATTGCCCTTATAGAAATATTGTCAAGGCATTCATCAGATGAGGTATATCTTGATCAGCGGACACCTGGATGGACTTCAGATAAGGAGCCATTGCAAGAATTTAAGAAATTTCAAGATACATTGAAAGAAATTGGGGAAAGAATTTTAGAAAGAAATGGAGATAGAAAACTAAAGAACCGTTTTGGACCTGTCAATATGCCTTATACTCTGCTCTTTCCAACAAGCGAAGAAGGACTTACTTGCCAGGGGATTCCCAATAGTATTTCAATTTAAAGCTACTATAGCTCTAAAGACCTTGTTGTTATTCTTGTTTACAGTTTGATGGTTTCTACAAAATTTGTAGCTTCAAATGTTCTATCTAGTTGGTTAGTTTCCTGATGCACTACTTAAAATTCAGAAAAAATATACAAAGATAGCAAGAAAAAGTTTCAACTAGATTATTCATATTTTTTTTTTCTTTTTTGAAAAGTTGATTATTTCATAATAAACCTCATACATTGCTATGCTATTAAACATTTATTAATAATTATAATTAACAATTTTTTTTAGCTGTATGCATAATGTTATTATGTCAAAATAGAATAACTTATTTAAATCTATCTTTACATCAATTAAACGAATGGTAGTTTTTTCAAATGGTAATTATGCAGTTTATCGACCAACGAAGAGTGATCTGCAAAACAGTAGTTAATTTCTCACTTGAAGCATATTATTTGATTGAATTTGCAATTTATTTTCTTCTAATAATCAACATTGCACAAGCATGTACAGTAATATCAGTTTCCTAATGTAAGTTCAATCCTGGAAAATAGGAAAGGTCGAGTCAAAAAATTCCTTTGGATCCGTTGATTCTTAGCTAGACAGCAAGAAAAAGAGCTCCTGAGTGCCAATATTCCCCTGTTCCCAATAATTACGCTTCATCATAAGGCACACAGCCCTATTATCTATTTCTAGCTCGCTACATCATGATCAGGTCCAACAAAATTTCAAGGGGTATAAAAAGCAGCCACTTGATTACAACTCTGTTTCATCCGTTCTCGGTCGCTTTGCAGATGCTGGACTACACTCATTGTCTTCTGGGTCAAAACCCTTACAAGTTTTGTTTTCCTGGACCTTTTGCTTTTTGCTTACACTTTGGAAACTTTCTTCCAGTGCAGAGCCAGCATCGTTTCCATCAAACCCTGTTTTGGCATTATCCTGCTGAGAGACTTCTGATTTATTATTTCCAGGTTGTTGCACTAAATTTGACTGTGGCAGAGAAGGGTCATCCACAGGGGAAGAGGAAGAATCCTTGGATTTTTCTTCCTCCATCTTTCTTTGTTTTTCAAACATCATTTGAAGATACCTCCCTTGTTCCTCAATTCTCAATTGTAAATTTCTCTGAATCTGTCAGGATAAAGAAAATCAATACCAGCAAATATGACAAAACTGTAATCATAGAAATCATGCAAGCATTATTGCATATGCATCATAGTTTTGCCAATTATCATTGAGATAACACTAAGACTGGGCATTTGTAAAGCATAATCCTGAACGTTAATCTATATTATCCTAATAATCTAATCCAGCTCATAAGAAAATAACCACAATTTCGGTAATAGCAATTCCTCCACATAGAAAGAAACCATCAAAGCAGTGAAATTTCTTTCAAATCAAAAACTTTAAGGTGAAGTAAAGTTTATTAACAAATTCAGTTGCCAAGGAAGAACAAAAAAGAACCACATTTTTCATGATTTGATACACACTTACAGACTAGAAGGCTTAACTCAATATTATGAAGGTTTCCAAAAAGCAAGAAATAAAAATCCAAATGTTAGCATAAATGAAAAAGAAGAAACAGTCGTCTATTCTTGAATTATAGCCTTAATTACTTAATTGTTCACGCACTTCCAAACTGAAGAGAGAAATTGAAGCTCATCAAATACCAACAGCATACCTCAAGCTGTTCATGGAGTCGCTTCTGAACCTCCATTTGCAATCGCAATGCTTCAGTGATCCCCATGCTCCTATTTTGACCAAAGTTCAGCATAAAATCAGCCCAATGTTTCATTCTTGCACAAGATAAATACAAAAAGAATATGTAGAGTAACTATTATGACATATGAAGCCCAAACACATAGCCCCATACTGCCATACATCATTCTCAAATAAATGGTAGAAACCACTATGGAAAAAGAATGGCTTGAGAAAAAAACTAATTTTGCAAGATGGTCAAGAAAAAAAATACTGGCAGTAAAATCTATAGCTATAAATTGCAGGCATATAGTTGAACGTCCAGTACCACAACATTATTTAGTGAAATATCAGCAAGTGCTTTAACTAAAAACAGGGGATGAGTACACCCTGAAATTCTTGGTCGATTTGAAATAACTTACGTTTTCAAGTCAAGAGATTTCATTTCATCAATAGGATTCAACTTTTTCTCTGAAGATCCTGAAAAATGAAGATAATAATGAACTTCAAATAATTGCATGTTAAACACAACTTGTTCATTTAAAAGAAGAAGTATATTTAGGAAGAAGGAACACTATGAAGTAATGCATTACATCATTCCACAACGCTTCAAAATAAAAACATATGGAACGCAAAAATAGCAAAGAAACGTCAAGGTGAAATACTTTGGACTAATATTGGGAGGCTAGCAAGTCTCATGTCAGAAAGAAGAAAAGGAGATAGGAATAGTTACCTTCAGATGACTCTGGTTTATATCTTGCCGTTCTGTACTTCTGAAATTTGAAAAGCAAAAAGCTAAATTAATAACAGTTACAACTAGCTTCTGACAGGAAACAAAATAAATTGTCAAGTGTTGAAGACCAAAGAAAATTTGCATACCTGCAAGTGGCTTTTAACATGGTAGATGGTCAAGCCCTCAACATTCATGAGCTTTAAGACACCCTTTGGAGTAGCTCCTGTAGTTTAAGAATCTAAGTCAACATGACAAGAATTTTCATGGCCCTAAGATTTCTAGATAGTAAAGTATAACCAGGAGAACTACATACGTTCACTACCACCAAGCTTGTTGACAGCTTCTACAAAAGCATCATGAAGTTCAGGTGTCCAACGCATCCGGGTTTTTGCTGCAGGTGCAGCAGATGTTGGGTTAGCAGCAGTATATGTTTCTCCACTGGATACCACTTGATGCTGATGTATTTGGGGTTGCACTGAGATTCCAGAAGGTGATTTCAGCACCTGGTACATCAGTTACAATTAAAGAAAAGTGAGAACTAAAAGAAGATTTTTAGAAGCTTGAGGAGTTGGTTCAGTTTGTTCATCAGCCAATACTAAAGTAAATGAAATAATCTAATTGTTTTACCGAAAGCAGAAAATTCGAGTAGTAGCAGCATAACTACTAACAAACATAAACTACATAGTTTGCCAAACACTTCATAGAATACATATAGAAAATCTTTTTTTTCTTACTTTCAAATAGAGAGAGATGGGAGAAGGAGGGAGGGGAATTTCACTAAATAAACATGGAACACCATGGAAGTCGTTGGAATGAGATTTATGCTCCACATACTGAAAATGTATGCACTAAAACAATATTAGACAAAGGACTCAACCTTTTGTTTGGCATCTGTAGCATTAGCATCATTAAGAATTTCACTCCAATTTGGTTCCAGATCATCATCAACAGAGATCAACTGATCTGCCCAATCCTGCCAATCTGCCTTCTTAGAAATGTCCTCAGATGAAATTACACCAATATTACTTTCCACTTGCCCATTCTGGACAGGGATATTTTCTGGAAAATCAAGCAAGTCATGAAGAGGATCTATAGACCAGGACATATTGTTATTTTCTTCAGGATCAGTCATTAGTGCTGTGGGTTGCACGTCTGAATGGGAAGAACCGGTTGGTGCCCCTAACAAAGGTCCTCCGTCACTTGATGACTTAGCAATGAATGGATAATTCTGAGACTGCACTCTGCGTGGTGAAGAGAAAGAAGAATGAACTTGATTGAGAAATCTCAAAGATGATGAAGACAAGTGCCCAGTTGTCCCAATATTAGGACCCAGTGAAGATGCCTGTTGGGATACTGGACCTTTTGTCAGTTCTCTTTCTGAAGAAACTTGAAAAGAATCAGGTAATTTAGGGTATTTCTCTTCGAGAGGGGTAGGAAGAACTGGAAAAGATGCTGACATTGCTAGTCAGCTGCTTTGCACATGATCCCTGAGCAAGCACAACATAGTAATTATTGCTGTAAGCAGAGAATCAAAAACAGTGTCAGCAAGGGTGAAAATTTGAACCGCAGCATGAGTGACAAAAAAAAAAAGAACAGTCCAAAACAGAGAAAATGATTCTACTCAAGGAAGCTGCTAATTGAAAAGAAAATGCTTGGAACACCAAAAGTCCAATTTTAATTTCCACAATTAATATCCACTATTAGCTAGGAAATGGAAAAGCAAAGTGGATTATAATGACATACACACTGAATGCCTCCAGTAAATAAAATTGAGAATGAAACAGTTGTCTCAAAAGTTTAGAACATTCGTCAGGTTATACATGCGTATTAAATGTCTAGAGGAGACAAAAATACCAGAGACAAAATCAATCAGAATATAAAGCATCCAAAAATACCAGTTAGAATGATTGCAAAAACATAAAACGGGTACACAATCCGTACTACCATCAAGTAAATTCCTCAAAGACAATCACTAAAATTAATGCATTTAGGCAAAAGAAAGCGATAAATTGAGCTTATAAGATCACTATTGGAAACTCAAATCTTAATTATCATGACTAAAAATTTCTTATCAAAACCGCAATTTCAACATTCACCATCCCATACCAACTCTAGCCATTGATTTCCTACTCAATTCATGAAAGAAACATATAAAAGACACAACCCACAAGGTGTGACACTCTCAATTTATTGATGAAAACAACCAAAGCCACTCTACAACACAGGATAGAAAATTAAGTTATTGTATAGCAGAAACAGCTAAACCCCAATTGGCAATCAAATAAACAACTCAAATCCACTACAGGAAGCACAAGAGGGAAAAGGGATGAAAGCTAAAATGGCTTAAACCAATCAAAAAATTGAGAAAAAAAAAAATACAGACTTGAAAATCTGAACTCAGAAACTCAAAAAATGAGTAAAGAAAAAATCTTACCTAAAATAGAGATGTGGGTATCAACAAAGGTGGCGATTGGATAAGAACCCAATCTTCTGGAGGCTAAAAACGCAATGAAAAGGAGGAATATTGACAGACGATATGGCTTTTGTCTTCTTGAATTCAGCAATCTCACGAATGCTCTCTTTCTCTCACTGCCTCCCGAGGGAATACGTATTTGGCTTTTATCTGTCTCGCTATCATTGCTAGCTAGGAAATGTCTTTTGTACTATTTAACAAAATTATAAAATTAATATACTAATTAATCATTAGCCGTTGATTTCTTTTTGGTTAAAATTTTTTGCGGTGGTGATTGGTGTTGATGTGGAAGATTGTGAAGGGCTGCTATAGAAATAGAAATGGAAGAAGAATGGGAGAGGAGTGGGGCCCAAAAAAAGTAGTGGTTTCTTTTGGTACTTTGCATTTTTCATCAAGTCCACTTGGCTTTTGCTTTTTCGAGTTCGTAAGTTTATATGAAACTTGGTCAAAACAAAATTCTTGTTGGGTTACTTCTAACCAAAATAATAATAATAATAATAATTTAAAAAATGCTTATTACCAAGAGTTACCAAAAGTGTGACGGAACAAAAGAGGGTTTAACTTGTTTAATGATAGTATTATGAAATTTGAATTAAGTTTTTCGAATAAATAAAATGTCTCATTTGATATTATCCATTTCAAACAAAACTCTAGAAATTACAATTTGAAGCTCAAAAAAAAAAAAAAAAAAAAAAAAAACCTGACAGACTTGAAAATCTGAATCAGAAACTGCAGAAAACAAATGAGTAAAAGATAAAAATCTTACCTAAAAATCAGAGACTGTGGGTACTCAACAAAGGTGGACGATTGGAATAAGAAAAAAGCCGACTCAATCTTCTCGGAGGACTAAAAACGCAAATGAAAAGGAGGAATATTGGACATGACCGATATGGCTATTTGTCCTTCGTTGAAAATTCAAGCTCAATCTCAAACGAATGCTACTCTTTCTCGTCAACTGCACTCCTTCTGAGGGAATTACGATTATTTTGGCCTTTTTTTAATCTGTCTCAGCTATTTCTCTTGGTAGCTATTGGAAATGTCTTTTTGTACTATTATTAACAATATATATAAAATTAATATACTAATTTCATTAGCCGTTGATTTCTTTTTGGTTAAAAATTTTTTGCGGTTGGTGATTGGTGTTGAATGATGGACAGATTGCTGAAGGTGCTGCTATAGAAATAGAAATGGAAGAAGAATTGGGAGAGGAGTGGGCCCCCACAAAAAGTAGGTGGTCTTCTTTTTTGGTACTTTGCATTTTTCAATCAAGTCCACTTGGGCTTTTTGCTTTTTCGAGTTCGTAAGTTTATATGAAACCTTGGTCAATTAACAAAATTCTTGTTGAAGGGTTAGCTTCTAACACAGGGAAATAAAGTAATAATAAGTAATAAGTATTAAAAAAGTGCTTATTTCCTGACACGTAGTTACAAAAGTGTGACGGAAAAAAAAAAAAAACAAAAGAGGTTTAACCGTGTGCTTTAATGATAGTATTCATGAATTTGAATTACAGTTTTTCGAAATAAATTATATTAAGTGATCTCATTTGATATTATCCTCATTTTCAAACAAAACTCTAGCAATTGTACATTATTTGAAGGGCTTTCAAAAAAAAACAATTAGGGAAAAAAAAAAAAAAAGAAAGAAAGAAGGGATATGGGAGTGCAATGTCCCAAGGTGTGTTGAATATGCTGGAAATCCACTTCTGCATTGAAAACTTTCGAAGGATGATTGATACAATACAAACAATCATTAGATTTCCTAGGAAGGGAATTGATCGTTGATAGAAAAATAGAATATAATTAATAAAAGCAAAAAAAAAAAAAAAAAAAAAAAAAGAAAGAAAGAGTATGGGAGTGCAATGTCCAATTTTAAATCTGAAATCCACTTCTGCATTGAAACTTCAAATGATTGGATAATACAAACAATCATTTAAGATTTCCTAGGAAGGAATTGATGTTGATAGAAAAATAGAATATAATTAAAATAAAAGCCATATTAATAGAAATAGAACTAAAAATACATAGAATTGGAGATGCTCGCATGCAAAGCAAGCGCTCTACCGTTTGAGCTACATCCCCACATGTCCATTGACGTGAGTACAACTATATATAACAAAATATACTGATTCAATTTTAAACAAGGAATATTTCTTATATACAATTAGACAATAATGCCAGTGTATAGGGGGGAAAAAAAAAAAAGACAATGTTTATAAACATATTAATTGCCTTTCAAAAAATAAAAAACATATTAATTGGCCTTAATAATTATAAATGATAAAATAAAAACGCAAAAATTTATGGTTAGTTGAAATGTCGACATATTTCTTGTATGAAAAAGAATAAATGCTGTTGCTCTTTTATAGTGGAATATGTCGTGACATTGAAAAGGAATCCATATGTTTTGTCTAACTTGTTTTTATGTAATCTGTCACTTCATAAGTTCGATGTCATTGCTGAAGCCCACTGAGTCAATTTATATGTGAAAAGTTAAAACAACGATTTAGCAATCCAAGCACGCACAATGCTTGAACCAGCAAAATATATTGCCAACAATTCGTGTAGAGTGTCAAAAAATTTGAGTACTGAATATAACAAAAAAAATTAAAATTTAAAAAGACCATGTAAAACTTGTTCTCTAAGCAAAATTTGTCTCTCCAAATTAATCAAGAGATTAGTGTCTTCGCCGTGCAAAATCAGTAGCTTGAAAATTGTTGGAAAGACTTTACTTGAATACCGTCTGACTTTACCTGAATACCACTCCATGTATGACCATGGACACACACATGCAAACCAAAAAATTTTAGTTTGATTAATTAATCTGTTCAGTATCAAAGGTCATGGCATTCTTCAAATAATTTAATTTCTCCAATTGATTGATTGTCATCTTTCCGCAGTTGAACTTCTGCGCCTGGAATAAGAGGAGTATATAAAAGAACTAAATTAGAATCTCTGCTTCTATTCACTTGCAATTAAACTAAATAGTTCCAACCTTTACCCTTTCAGATCTCGGCAAGAAGCACTTCCACAACAACATTGAAATGCCTTTATTGGATGATCATGATCATCGAAGTCAATCCCATAATCCTGCAAACAATTTATTTCTTGGAAATTATCATAAATTTTCTACAAAATTTCGACTGCAGTGTTTTCATTTCTAACAAAATCAAACCATTTTCAAATGTATATCATACATTCAGGTCTGTTCAGAGGCAAAATTAGTTGTTTTGATAGATATTAGTTGTTTTAGTAGCGTTTATCTGTTAGTTGTTTTAGTAGTTCTTTGCAAAATGCTAAAAACTAAATATTATATGAGTCAATAAAACGCTATCATCTCTAGAAGCTAGTTCAAACGTTATGTTACCAAATACTATAAAAGACAGTGTTTAGCGTTTGACTAGTCAAAATGCTAAAAGCTACATAAAAAGTTGTGTCGAACACAGCCTTCCAGCTTTTACTCTCATGTCAATCTTTGCTTAGAAAAATGGAACTGAGAAAAAATTATAGAACAGGCATCTCCATCAGATTTCAAGATGTATACAGATTTCAAACGGTACTAAATCTCACTTACCCAAGTCAGTTCTTCAAATGCACGCACTTCTCTTGTAGTGAAAAAGGCAAGCTGCATTAAGGATCACAAGCAAGCTCTTAAAAAATACACTTAGAGAACAGGGTTGGTGTGCAACTTGCTCCCTCTTTAAGCTAAAAAACTAACATAGGCATCAAGACATGTGAAAATAAAGCCAGAAAGAGATACTACTTACATGATAATAGTGCCGGTCAGGTGTCTCCACCTGGACTGGAATATCAATCAAGTTTGCATCATTACATCTGTAAAAGGTGAGGTCAAACGCTGATAATGACAGAGAATAACTAAAAGGGAAAATGTGAGAGGCAACGTGCAGTGATTGAAGACAATGCAACACAAAATCAATGTTAAAGGCCTCACTCAACGTCAAAATTGAAAAATGAAAGTTATACCAGTTAATCTTGTCTACTTTATTGCAAAACTTGATCTTCTCTATTCTATTGCTGTTTGGATTGAGCAAACTTAGTTGCATAATCATTTACAGGTGCTTATTTCTTATGTGAAAAGGAAAGTGCAGAACAGTGTCTGTCAAGACATTTAGCACTAAAGATATAGAAAGAACATAAACACAACAGTAGGTAATGTGAAAACATAATAGGCGAGCAAAATTCAATTTATAGCAAGTAGCATGTGAAGCTAAGAGTGTCACCTATGATTAATAAACCTTGCAACATTTCCACTGAAAGTTGCATCCAAACAAAGTGCTTCATCATCCCTTAGGACTCTTTCTGAACCCCAGTCCGCATCAAGTGTAACTGGATATGTATGCCTGTCACTGCCACTATTCTGCATGTTCCTATCATATAATTCAGTGTTCGTCAATATTTCCCCAACATATTCACACACAAAGGTTCCTTCAGGCAAGTCGTTAAGCGTTCTTACACCCCAGCCTTTATCTTCATGAGTCAAAAATACCTGGGGCATAAAATATCATTTAGAGAAATCGAAAAAATGCTAACAAAAACCAATCTTATAAGTTAAAACATTCAGCTAGAAACACAAAGAAAAACAAACCACAATAAAAAGTGAAAGCCAACTAGCCTTAATATGATAGCAGGAAGCAAGTACTTTTCATGGAGGACAATATCAAGATTGTGTACATTCTATAGAAGTTCCAAAAAATTGCATGAACTAAATATACGTGTGAGAAGGCAACCAAATAATGGCTGTGTGAATTCCTTTCCAGCATAGAATTCTACCAGTAAGTATATAAGTGATCATGCCCTCTTCTGGATGTGTTGATTAACTGAATATATTATGCATAAACAAACACAAGCAGAAAGGGAGATACATCCATAAATCTATCTATATAGGTAGTAGAAAGAAAACTTTTTCCTCAATGTTGAAGACTTCATATTAAATCTCATACCCACCTCTCACACCTCTTCTTTTATTTAAGGTGGGGGAGGGGGTATTGGAATATTTGTCTGGACGCTACTAACCTCGGAGAATCATTGAACTTCATACAGGGTATAAGTCATTCAAAAATTAACGCATAATTCTGTAAAATCATTTCAAAGTTATTCTTACTTGAAGTTGCTTCCTAAATTGTAACACCAGATTAATGAGCACATAGATAACGGGAAAGCTTGATGCTATCAGAACCATTGTTAAAGATTTTAAAATGTGTACCTGCAAGTTGCAGGTAATACCCCGTTGTATTATTCGATTTCCACAGTTCATGTCACATCCACATTTCATCCAACACTCTTTAATAAACTTTCTAACCAAGTGACCCTTGCATTTTTTGTATCTCTCCAATGGACAATATTCTTGGCAAAACACAAAATTTTTTATATGAGGGTCTCGTTTCGTTGAAACACTCTCTCTTAAAAACTCTTGTGTTAGCAGGCCTTGTTGAGTATAAGCGAACTCTCCCCTAGTTTCACGAGCACATGCACACGGCAGTTGATGCGACAGACAATCTCCTGAACAACCTGAACAGCAATCTTCATCTGCAATCCGAGCAAGTGATATTTGCATGCAAGCATTCTGATAAATAATATTCTGTGGCATGTAAGTAAACTTTGGAATATCGTCATTCCCTACTTCAGCTATCAATGAAATCTGGACATTTTCTGAACCTTTCGTTATGTCATTTAACTTTTTGATGGATTTCTTCACATCAATAGCAGTTGTCCCCTGCTGCACATTTACCAAATTATGGAAATTTGAAAACCTGCAGGGTTTTGAAGCCTTCCCTTTCAAGGCCTGATCAGAACTTGCCTTCCTGTTTGACCCTACACTATGAAAGGGATCGCCCACTTTCCTGACTACAGGAGAGTTATCTGCAACTGGCCAATTGGAGGAAACAGTACCTAGTTCCAAGTACAAATCACAGAAGTCTTTCAATAACTTCATCACAGAAAACTGCGGTGAGACAAGTTTGTGCATCCTTAGATATCTATCCTCCAAAGTTTTCAGAACTGCATTAATTTCTGGAACTTGAAAATTTGATTGTTGAACTGCAAAATCACAATTCAGCAATATTTTCACTTGTTGCAGAGTTGATGAAGCAATTGCAAAGTTGCTCTCGCACAGTGTACTTTCAGTGGATCCTGAACATGAAGCATCATACTGAGATGTCAAGCAACTCAATGCTTTGTTACCAGTTGAAAAACCCTCAAATATAAGTAGACTATCTAAACAAGGCACTAGAAAGTCAGAAAAAAAAAAAAAATCAAAACAGCAATTGACAACAGACAGCATATAAATTCAACAGGAATAGGATGTTCGAATAAATAAGACCTGCAACACTTCAAAAAATAAGTCTGACGAGCATGTTCCAACTGTTAACAGTCCAAATTCAGAATAACAAGAATCCATGTATAGACATTTGTCCCTTAAAAAAAAAATTGATGGCTTAAATCACCCAATGGCAAGCTTGAGAGAGAGCTCAAGGAACCGGAAAAAAAAAAAAAAAAAAAAATAAGCACCTGCACACTTCAACAAATAAGCTGCCGTAGCATGTTCCAGACTGTTAACAGTCCCAAATTCAGAAAACAAGAAATCCATGTATAAGGACATTTGTCCCTTAAAAAAGAAAAAAATTGATGGCTGTTTAAATCAGCAACCCAAATGGCAAGCTTGAGAGAGACTCAAGGACCCGGAAAAAAAAAAAAACACCAAAAAAAACACGTACATGTAATATCTGGTAGGTTACGAGCAATTCAACCAAACTCCTCTAAAAATAATCATATGCATAAACATGTTCTGCAATCATTATGACTCCAACCAGTATTGAAAGAAACCCCTAAATATAAGTAGTTATCTAACTAACAAGGCACTAGAAAGTCAGAAAAAAAAAAAAAAAAAATTCAAAACAGCAAATTGAAAGACCAGACAGCATGATATAATTAAAACCAGGAATAGTATGTTCGAATAAAATAAGACCTGCAACACTTGAAAAAAAAAGTCTTCGACGAAGCATGTTCCAAAATGGTTAACATCCCCAATTCAGAATAATCGAAGAACATCCTTCCATATATAGACATTTGTCCCTCAAAAAAAAAAGATTGATGGCTTTTAAGTCACGCCAATGGCAAGCTTCGAGAGAAGGGCTCCAACCAAAGCCGCAACCGGCGGAAAAAAAAAAAAAAAAAAAAAAAAAAAAAGCAACAGTACAACTGTAATTCTGGGCTAGGCTTACGGCATTCAACACAAATCCTCTAAAAATAATTCATACTGCATAAATATGTTCTGCAAATCCATAATGACCTCACAACCAGTACCTATGTGTCAGAACTGTCAGAGGGTTCCTTCTCTTCTGCAAAATCAATCTGATTTGATTCTCTTCCAAGTTCCTGCCTTTACAAACTGAGTCTCTGCCACTGATACATCACTGGGAATATTTTCTGGTAACCATAAAGGACAAGCGCAGATTTAACAAATTTGCCTTGTATTTAGAATACGGGCCAGCGGGCATAGTGGCCATCGTATCTAAAAAAAACTGAATTCACTGTCAGAATCTACGGATATCTCTCTCCTCAGACTTAACCTGGTCTTGAGGAAACGAACCTTTCAAGTTAATTCTCCTCTTATAATTGCCTTCAGCTTCAGAGCGATAGAGTTGAGAGGAACTTCTCCTTGTTTCTTTGGTTTCTAGAATAGTCGG